CTCCAAACCCACCATCTCACACAGACCTTGCTGGACGTTGAAGTCCTCCACAGCAAGACACGGGAACACATCAGCGATGATGGCATTACGTTTCAATGTGATTGGCTTCGGTGAGAGATTCGTCATCTTCAAGGGCACCCACCTGTCAGCCCACATCGCAGTGATGACACGACCCACAAGGACATCCCGCGGACCTGACCTGGAACCACATGGCTCCACAATGACTGTGCTGCCTGGAGACATCGGCACCTTGCTGGACAGCCTACCCCACACTAGGTGTTCGTGCTGCGGTTCCAGTGTGACAGCATGAGGCAGCTTCAAAGGGCCGATCTTGTCTGGGACATTCTCACTCTTCCATCTTGTGGAGCAGGACAACATATCAAGGAACAGGTCACAGTCTGACGGTACTTTCTTGCCTCCAGCTGATATGAGTCTCCAGTAGTTTTCATCGTTCTTCATGGTACGTGCGAGGTGCTTGAGGACGTTCGAACCGATGATGAGCTCATCACGCTGGCCCGGCACAAGCAGAACAGGAACAGCGCACTTCACTCCATACACAGACAGCGTCAAGTCATAAACACCTCTGGGACGTGTCTGCTTTCCCCCACAACCCACAAGCACAATTCTTTCGGCTGATTCAGGCTCTTTAATAAGGACTCCCGCCACCTTGAGTAATGCTTCAGCCCCCTCACTCATCGTACAAGCCATGGATCCTGAGTCAATCATGCCCTTCAGTTCCACCTTGTCATTAACCACAACCTGGACGTAGAATAATTCACTGAAAGCTGGCACCTCTCTAGACCCTTGAACCACGACCTGAAGACCTTCTGGTACGGCCGAACATGCATTAACGTAAAGTAGCTCCAAGTCCTCGTCTCCAATGAGGGTTTCGTGTTGATCCCCCACACTGCCCCTCTCCAAGTGTGGGCTCTCTAGTTTCCCGCCGGCGGCCCTCGTCTGGCATCAGCCTGGCCCACCCGCTTCCGTCCATACTTGTCACAGTCCTTCTTCCAGTGACCAGGAGCAAAACACGCGAGACACAGGTTTTCTCTCCTGCAATGTGCGAGCGTGGAATGTCTGACATCGCCACAGACTCTACAACTCCTCCTCTGAAAGGGCATTGGAGCATATGATGGCTCTTGTGCAGGGGCTTGGACGTTCTGACGCACCACCAAGTGATCTAGAAGACTGATCAGTGCATTCATGCTATTCACACCAACAGCTGCGGCAGTGGCTGGAGTGGCGTGACTGGACTGGGGAGCCGGAAAGCATGCTGGTGACTGTGCATGTTGTGGAACAGACTGTGCATGGGATGGTTGAGGCAAATGAACAGCTGGGGAATTGGGCACAAACTGTTCTGCTAAAGGTGAAAGCTGTGATGTTGGTGTCTGAACAGATGCGTTAGCAAACATAGTGGCTTGAGGCAGAACAAACCCCTGGGCAAAAGGCAGCTGAAACTGGGGCTCTGCTGGCACTGGTTGAGACAGCTCTGGCTCTCGTGACATGGCTGACTGGGTGTGAGTGACTATGTGTCTCTGTGGAGCATGAGAACTGGTCAGCGTGCGCATCCTGAGTTCCCTCTGGTAGGCATCAATACGTTCCTGGACCTCGCTCGTGGTCCACTCCTCAGCCGCCTTGAAGCTCAGTCTGTTAGAGAGTATCGTGTCTGGGCAAAACTTGATGAACATCATGCATACCTCCCGTCCCGGATCTTCAACACTACGTTTCTGTCTCTTTAGGCACTCGTCAGCGATATCAATGGCGTTATTCAACCTGATCCAGTAGTCCATCACCCCTTCGTCTCGCAGTGGCCTGGTGTTGTAAAAGTCAGCCATTGGCATGGATGAGTAGGTCAACTCACTAAAGTGTTGTTTCAGTATGTCATAGACAAAGTCGGGAGTCGCGTCAGTAGAGTTATGTCGTAGAGTAACCCGCACTACATCTCTAGCCTTTCCCCTTAACTTAGCTAATATCTCCTGTAGCTGCTGGTGTACTGGAACATTACTCTTACGAAAATATGCCCCTACCATTTCCACCCACTCCCGGACAGAACACTTATCACTGCTATCACCCCTATAAATAGGCGGCTCCTTAGCATCAGATTGCATTACTAGCCTAACACCGGACAAATTAAACTCCGTCGGTTGCTGTTCAGGCTGTGAACCCCCCTTTTTTTCAGATTTGTCGTGTACCGTTACATCACTATTACGTTGCAGCTGGTCTGCAATAGACTGGCCAATTTGGCTGGCTAACTCTGTAATAAGGGCTCTTACATCATCACTAGAGGCTGATGTGGTACGCTGCTCACTTGGGGAAAGACTGCGGGGAAACTGGACACGACTGGAACACGCCCTGGGCGTTCTCAACCCTCCCACATCAGGCGACTGAACCTCGTCCTTGAATAACCTCCCCCTCCCAAACCCCACAGTATCATACACATCATGATCAAAAACCCCCGTACCCACTGGTGTATTTACTGAGTCCATTTTGCAATACTTGTGTGAAACAATACAGTCCCCACGGCGATCGAAGTGGCGTCGATACTCGAGGAATCCAAAAGGTCACGGCACCAATGTAACCCGTCTCGTCTTTCTGCGTTGTGTTCTGGGTTGTTCTCGAGTAGACACAGAGGCACGGGCAGTCACAATGCAGTTTATTATCTGCGGTCATAAACAATATGGCAATGAGTGTTGCGTGACATCAGGTTAGCATCTCAGTCAGATCCAGCATTGCTCTGACTCTATTCACATTAATCACATTTAACCTCTTTTCATACAGAAAAACTACATACATTTGTAATCAAAACAAATACAAAGAAAATATCAGATATTCCCAATAGAAAAACACATTGTAAATTCCCCTTAGTCATACATTAATTCCATTATATAAACTACACATATATTCATTGAGTCATCTCAAACAAATATGCACAAACACACAAAAAAACATACCTGCGGTCATAAACAATATGGCAATGAGTGTTGCGTGACATCAGGTTAGCATCTAAAAAAATAGCATCACGTCAATACAATGTTAATGGCCTGCCGAACAGCTAGCTCACCACGTGCTGCAGCAGCTACCGAACTGCATTTAACATATAAAAACACAATATCGCGGCTCGTAGTTCATTAAGACTACTGCAAGATTCACTCATCATCATATACACTCTTTCACGGTAATAAGTCAACAATTAAGTGATAATAACAACTTATATATCCGTTTTATTATCGGAGAAACCTGACGTGAACTCACCTCAGTCAGATCCAGCATTGCTCTGACTGAGGTCAAACTTGCGCGGCGCAAGTCCCCGGTCTGATGACGTCACACGCACACACTGCACTAACCCGACGCGCAGGCAGAATGAACCCAAAACGAAACTCCCAGTAATACAAAAAGAAATATTTTTTGGTGGAATTCATAAGTATACAAATAAACCTGCTACACAAAGATTTATACACGTTAATAAAAAAGTCAAAGGCAGTGTTGTGTATTTGTTATTGCCTTGCCTGCATGTAAGACTCAGAGCAGGGCAGTGCAGGGAGGTAAATGTTTGCTTTTCAAGATGAATCAGCATTGAGGTATACGACTTGAGATATTATTATACATATAACTGATTATATCTGGATTACTTCATCAGGTTCCCAAAATTAAAACTTGTAATTAGATTATATTACATTTTAAAATAGTACTCGTAATCACATACAGTTACTGAGGTTACTTATTGATTACATGATTACTCACAAATTATTCACAAAATGGCAGTAAATTCAATGATTTGCCCAAATTTTGCCCTAGTTTTCCTTTTTTAAAAAGCTTATTGTTTATATATTCGGACAAGTTTTGTGGAATTGCACACACAAATAACTGCCACTTATAATTACATGGAAAATTGAGAGGCAATATTTTTAGTAAGTGTTTTATTTTTGATTGTTTTTATTTTACAATATTTTCTTTTAATTAACATTTTTGAGATTTCATTATTAGCTTTTCATCAATTTACAAACCCTGCAGATCAAACTCAGTTTGAGAAAGCCTGACATATGTTTAATGCACTTCACGATGTTGATAACAAAGAAGAGAATACATTTTCTTTTTCTTCTTTTGTTTGTTTGTTTGACTTTATTGTCTGTTCAGATTTACTGGACATCAGAAATGAATCTTTAACACTGGCATAAAAAACAGATACATCAGACAACACTGACCAACCATGTTATATAGCCTACCACCACATAATAAAACACATGGGGCACACACATTTATCTCTATCAGAAACATGATTAAAACACAGTGGTGAATTAGGTCCAAATAAATCAAATTAGTAATCAGATTAGTGAGATTTTAAAATATAGATTGCGTAACAAACTACAATCCATACAAATTACATGATGAAAATTGTAGTTAAAGTAATCTACCAAGCACAATCAGTAAAGTTTATACATTTGTTTATTGTAGGCTACTTGAAAGACTGCAAGAAAATGAGAACAATATCCTAGAATCTAGATGGACAAAATGGCAGTAGTGTTTATAATCTTCAGGGAGCATAAAAACAACAACTTGTGTCTGCCTGTTACCTTTGTATTTTAGATTTAGAACAGATTAGGACAATAAAAACCCAGTAAACAATTATAAGCTGCACTGATTTCATGCCACTGACTGTATGGCGGGATGGGAATGCCCATTAAACATGAATTTACAAAAAATAATAATAATATAGGAAATTACTGTAATATAATTAAGAAATATGAACCATCATTTCATCTCACTTCCATACGAATTTAACCTTATCCTAGAGGCATTATTTATTATCTTTTAAACACACAAAACAGAATATTAAACATCTGTGTACTTTTCTTAACCAAACACTACATCAGGCCTAATTAACAATATCTGTCTAGGCTGCATAACTCTCATCCACAACAGCAGATCTTGAATAATTGAAATAATTGAACTATTTTGAAGTGTGTTAGTAATGAAGGCTGTTACACACTCACAGGGGTTTGTCATTCATCCACCGACACTCGTATCTGCTCGGACTAAACGTGGCCTCATGATTCCCACCGGAGCCTTTTACCCTTTTCTTTCATTTCTCACCCACATATTTGTCACAGTGGATTGTTGATAGCACATCATATGGAAGGTACGTTGCGGTAAATGTGGCTGTTTTCATTAATTGCTGACAAAGGGGCTGTAGTTTAGCTTCGGGTTGCTAGTCCATCTCATTAAAGCAGCATAAACGTTAGCTGTTAGCCGCTGGTTAACGTTACTGTTTCAGTCAAAACATGCAAACCAGTTTACGCTCAGGACAGCAGCTCTCCCAGATGGTTAAATCTACCTCCCCGTGTGAGTGTTTGAATAATATAACGTTAGTATTATTTTAGTGTTTATTAGCTACCTGGGCGATGGCTAGCTAGTTACTTTGCATATAATCACAGACTAGCTTATCTGGGTTTGTCAGGAGGCGGTTAGGTTTGTTTTGTTCAGTAACGTTAGCTGTAAGTAACAAATGTGCATGTCGTTTATGTCTGGGATTAATATTATTAAATTTGAGATGATAGTGTTGGAATAAAAGCTACTCGTGTGCTAGCTAGCTTGGACGCTAAAAAACTGAATTACTGCTCCAAAGCTCCCGACACATTGCCATGCAGCTTAGGAAACACCACATGCCCTCATAAGAGAGACTTTAAGGTTGTTTGAAAGTGCTTTGGCTTGTGTGTTTGCAGACGGTGGTTGCGGGATGGACGCGGAGCTGGGTGCTGACAGCGCCCGCAGAAAGATGGAGGCGGCGGGCGAGGCGCTGGAGATAGTGCCGCTGGAGATGTATGATTCAGCCCGAGCCAAAATAGCGGCAAACCTGCGATGGCTGTTCGCCAAAGCCTTCGGTATCGGTGAGTTGATTAACTTTGTTTATGAATGAAAACAGGACCGAAAAGCAAGACTTGTATTTTATTAACCGACTCTGTGTGATATGTAGGCTAATCAAAGACAAGTTGGCTAGACAGCCAGAAAAATGTGCCTCTCCCCTTACTGTGATATTTTCACCTGACATCATCACTGTACCTTGATACTGGGCAATTTATTGATAATGATAAACCATATTCATAGTTACTAGTTAGGCGTTGTCGTGGTGCATGTCCAAAAATGGTATTTCCATACTACGTACAGTACACACATGGTCTTTACATAGTACTTAAAATGTTTCAATGCTATATATACCACAGCAAAGTTATCCAGTGGTATAAACATTGGGTCACACTAGTATCAGATGATAATACCGTGGTACTTTGATGGATGCTACTGAAATTTATGTACCAGGGCAGGGTATTTACACAGTACTCCAAGCCAAGGTATTTCCAAGAGTTCATAGTACATGTCTGAAAAAACATGATGGCAGCATCGCACTTTAAAATTTTTTTTTTGCAAGTGTGAGCTAGAGGTGGGTGATATGACCGAAATCTTATTTCACGATAACAGTATCCTCCTTATTCTGAAAAATGGAAGTTATTTTCTTTTGAGACTTCCAATTCATTTGACGTATAGGTAAATAACTAGAAGAATAGCATTGCACTAAAAGCTACAAACCAGTGTAACTATGATAATATGTGAAAATAATACAAAGACAAACCAGTTTGCAATATCAAGCAGCATAACGGACTGTGCAAGCTTTTATTCACATATAGACAGTACCATGATTCTCCAAGCTACTTAAAATATCCAAAAACTGGTTTTGCCATGGTACATGTCCAGAAAAACAAACAAACAAAAACAATGATGTTGCTTTTGTTATTTTTCACAGTGGATTGATTTTAAGCAGTATACAAAATGAAAACTAGTCTAGATTTATGGAAATACTACTCAACAGGTCAAGAAATATTACAGATGTACTTATATTAGAGCTGCACGATTGGTCGTTTCAATCGATTCAATAATAATACAAATAATCAAATTCAATTGAATAATTGATTCAGACACACACACGGTCTTATTCCTAAATGACAATGATTGAGCTTTATCTATTAAAACTTTGATAAGTACAATCGCTGACCCAGAGAAAGCAGTTGTCATATATGGGTCTTTTCTACCACACAGTATAATTATTTCTGTTACAATGATTCAAATTATCACAGAATTGCTGGAATAAGTTTATAGTTCAGAACATTGATGTCTACCATAGCGATACAAATAGAGTAAATCACCTTTTGAAAGTAACTTGATGCTTCAAATAAAGAGTTTATCAATTAAATCATTACACCAGAAGGTGGTGACAAGTGACTGTTAAAAATGCATTTATTGAATCATTCCTTCAAGAGATTCGTTCAAAAATGTTGATTCATCCAGCAATGAAACAAGTGAAGTCTTTATGAGTGATTCATTGAATCATTCATTCAATTTCAAACCGATTTTCAAAATAATAATGACAATAATAAATCATTCAAATGAACTAGGCCTAAATGTTTTTAAAGTAGACTTCAGCAATTAACATTTTGTCAGAACCTCTAGTAAATTACATATTATTTTGTTTAGTTGTCCATTCAGAATCGTGGGAGAATCATGATCTCTATTTTAAACAATCAAGATTCTCAATTTATCCAGAATTGTGCAGCTTATATATGGCCTACAAATGTTTTGGCTTGGAGGGCAGCAGTCTGAGTCTACCGTTGTTGTATTTGACCATCAGGATCAAAAGCATTTGTCCCAGTCCCTTCTGCAGTGCTTGCACAATTTAAATGTTGTGGATGAACAGGAAGGGTTTTCCTAATGCCACCAACTCCCTGTCAGCAGATATAGAGTGCAGGCTGTATGTGGGGCGCCAAGAGTCTGTTTTGTATTTTATGTATGGAATCTATGTTGAGTTAAGCTTTCAAACATCTGTTAAATAATTAATTCCCCAAAATTGAGAATTCTGTCATCATTCACATTTATTTGTGATAAATGAGCATTCGATAATGAGGCAATATTGCTAATTTCTGTTGCCAGTCAGAGTTAACTGTTTGAGTACCTGCATATGGAAAAAGCAATGACCAGCAGACAAAATTTGCTCCAGGTATATTTTTAGCCTCTTCTGCTCTAGTATCAGTCACTAATGACTGTAACATATGAGCACTGCAGTGTGTGGACAAATGTGATCAAACTAATAGTGGGTTGGACTTTTTTTTGGATTGTTATATGACATGCATTAATTTATTTATTTTGTTGGACAGATTTAGTTTTGATTCATGGTGGTACCAAAAGAGTGGCACACAAAATCTGTCTTGAGCATATGGCTCCTATTAGATCATCTCATAAGACTGGCACAGTGGAAAGGGATCTAATTGGTGGATGTATTCAAGCATGCTCTGATATGTAGCCTGTACCCCCTCTGACAAAAAGGCACCCCAATCTGCTATCATCGGTGGGTGAAACAAAAGTGGTGTGTAAGACTCCTGACCTCGTTTTAAAGCTGAGGAAACTGTCTCTCTGCTGTTGAATGTTTAATTATCTGAACTGTGTTTGCAGGGTGTGTCAGTTTGCCATAACAGTGATGGGTAATAATAATAACATGACTGTCAATAATTATATTAACGTGGGAGTTATTTAATTACTGAAGGGGTTAGATATGTGCTTGTCTGTGGGTTGAGGTTCAAATACAGTTTATTCCATCATTATTGTGGAGTTCTTTTTGGCTTTTTCTGTTATTCGGGATATTCCCTTCAGTAAAGCTGTGGTTAAAGCGGAGTTGTTTCAGCCCAGTAATTGGCCTAAATGGAGATGAAGGCCATGTGCATCTTTACTGTCAGAAGTGGGCCAGATTTAAAGGGTTTCTTTGCATTCTGATGATTACTGCTTTGAATGTCCTTTTGAATGTCCAGTTCACTTTCTTTTAAGATAAAAAAACTGCAGGATAAATAAATACAAATGCTTGCAACTGGGGCCCTTATTTAAGGCTGCCATATTCTCTTCTTATGCTTCTTGTACTTTGGTGTAGATATTTGACATTTTACAAGTGCATTATTTCTTAAATTCTTTTAGATCTTTTTATTTTTATATTATATATATGCAGGGCTCGACATTAACACTTGTCCAGGAAAAGTAAAAGATAATTTTACTTGCCTGACCCGACAAATAACCTGATTAAAATGTCAATAACAAAAAATAGCAAGGGAATTACCGAAACGCAAGTGATTCTGATTTTATTTTATTTAGTGTAAGTGTCGATCGATGGTGGATAATATATAATGTACTGATGGTGACAAGGTTGCCTTGTTGAGGCTCACGCAGCCTCTCAAAGAGAAATCGAAATAAATGTGCAAAGCACACACAAAGAAACTCAGTTAACATACTGTGGTACATTTTTAAAAAAAAAAGTTTTTATATTTATAACATATGACAAAGTTAAAGGGTTACTAGTTTACCCCATAATGGAAATGATCATATAATTTACTCAACCTCAAGCCATCCTAGGTGTTATGACATTCTTCTTTCAGCCAAACACAATCTGAGTTAAAATATCCTTTAACTTTATAATGGGAGTGAGTAGCGCCTGAGATTTTGAATCTCCTAAAAGAGCATCCATTCATTATAAAAATAATCAATAATCTCCAGGGGGTTAATAAAGGCTGCCTAAAGCGAAGTGATGCAATTTTGTAAGAAAAAATATCCATATTTATAACTTTATTTGATTTATTTTAACTGATTTACTAATAAATAAATAAATAAATAATAAATTAAAAGAAATGTACAGGACCTATATATTCTTATAAATACCTAAAATGTACCAAAATACCATAAACAAATACCAACTATAAGTTGGTATCCCTGTGCACATTAATGCAATGCTAAAATCATTCTCCTGTGTAATAATATGCTCTAAATCTGCTGTATTAAAACACAAGACATGCTCACTGTAATTTCCCAGTCTTTAAACAACCCTTGCACGTGGCAGACGGACTGGTTTGGAACAAAGCAGACAGCTCCACGTGGTTCATCAGAGGGGGGCAGGTGTGTGTGCATAAATGCATGATGGATGATTGGACCCAGTGCCTTCACATTTAATGATATGGTTCTCCTTGGGGGATGCCGGTGCAGAGGGCGTTTAAGTATTTGTGGTTGGTGTGGATGGAGCAATGGCTGCCCAGACAAGGACATGTCTGGCCTTTCTTGCCAGTGTTTGAGCCTCATGGTTGCAGCCAGACTCCCAGCTGCCACAGCACATCTGCGTCTGCACAGGAGATTCCGTGATGATGACACTAGGGCCCTATGTCTTGCTTTTCACACCATCACGCTATTGTCTAGCACATAGTGCCGTAGATGGCAACAAAGCAAGGGGTTCTCCGGCAGATTGCATCTGATACCAGACATAGAAACTGTAGCGGCAGTAACACTTGAAAACATCCCAAGTATTTCATCAGTATCTCAGCATCAGTACAATTTGTTTATATCCTAATTTATTGTTTTCTCATCCTGTCAGATCACATCCCAGAGGACCTGCAAGACCCTTTCTACACAGATCAGTATGACCAGGAACACATTAAACCCCCGGTGATCCGGTTACTGCTGTCCTGTGAGCTGTACTGTCGCGTGTGCACCCTCATTCTCAAAGGAGACCAGGTGGCCTCTCTGCAGTCCCACCAGTCAGTCATCCAGGCCTTGTCTCGCAAAGGCATCTATGTCATGGAGGGCGATGACACGCCTGTCACAGATTCAGATCTGTCCTGCCAACCAATCAAAATGGTGCGTTGCATTCAAAATGTATTTGGTCATTTTATATCTTTGGATGTGTTTTTACACTATGTAACATTTTTACACTATGCTGAATGTACAGTATAACGTGAGTTTGTATAAGACGTGATTGTATATATTTAATAATATGCATGATGTACATTTATTATTGAATATAATATAAACGTGGCATTAAAAATATTTTTTGTATAACATTTATATTTATTAATGTACATAAAATATATACTTTTTTAATTTTTTTTTATTATAGTGGGTTTTGTCATGCCGGAGGATATGTATATATATATATATATATATATATATATATTAGGGGTGGAACGGTACACAGAAGTCACGGTTCGGTTCATACCTCGGTTCAGACATCACGGTTCGGTACGATTTCGGTACAAGGGAGTGAAAAGCAAAGCAAAAATGCAGAAGGCATTTTTATAAATGTCTTAAGCCTTGTATTTTTTTAAATAAGTTTTATTAATAAAGGCATAGAACCAGTTTATTTGTAGTGCACTGACAGTAGTTTTATATAATTAGTTTATTAATTAAATTATTAAAAAGACGAAAAGACCTTGAGATATGTTTGGTAATTGTACCTGAATGAATTTAAAATTAATTTGCTATTTCAGATCAAGATATTTGTTTTCCTTCATTTTAATTAACTAACTTTATTCTCATCTGAATTATAAATAATTGATTTCCGTTTAAAATAATACTACCATAAAAACTTTTGTTAACAGGTGTAGGTTACAGTTTGACAAGAGTTTAGAGTGTGACAAAAGCACAATGTTGTGTTTTATTGCGAGTGTACACAAATATAAGTAAACAATTTGCAGTTTTAATGATGTCCTGTATGAAAAAAATGACGGAGTATGTTTTTACGTTTCCACTGTTCGATCGCCCGTGCCTCTCTCACACACACTCACACACACACACACACACTGTTCGATCGCGCCTCTCTCTCTCTCGCACACACACACACTGTTCATCGCGCCTCTCTCTCTCTCTCTCTCTCGCGCACACAGACACACACACACACACACTCCTGCATTGCAATCTTGATCGCAGCCTGTTCATTGCTGCGTTCACAGTCACACCAAAAGCGAATAGAGCGAAATTCATCGCTATTTAAGAGGTTTTTTTGATTTGTACCGTGTATTCGTGCAAATTCGTGCACCGAACCGTGACGCCCGTACCGTTTCGGTTCAATACGAATACATGTACCGTTCCACCCCTAATATATATATATATATATATAAATAAAATCTAGTGGTGTAACGGATCACAAAACTCAGGGTTCAGATAATGATACGGTTTTTGAGTCACGGATCGGACCATTTTTCAGATCCGCAAAAAACAATAAATAAATATAGCTTGGTGGGTGGGCAGATGACACTTTGTTTTCCATTTATTACATAAAGCACTGTTTAAGTACTTTGATACCACAGCAAAATCTACTAGCCTAACTAATAAAGTTCAAACATTAGGATATTAAAGACAAGTGAACAGTCTGTAATAAAATAAGAACAAACACAAACTACAAACAAAGTTACAAATAAAGTAAGGTCTAACAACAGAAGTATTCAGGTAAAAAAATGTAATGATTACATTTAAAATAACACTGTATTGTTCACTGAATAAATTAAATATATATTAATCTTTATTAAATTTGTGTTTTGTTGTTTGATTAACATTAATGACATAGTCAGCAGCAGGTATTTTATTGGCTGCTGTCGCTTTAAGACCTAATTCACAGATCCAATACAATAATACACATCCGATTTCTTTCTCAACTGTTTACATTAAATTAAGACATGACCTACTGTGTTAGGAGAATACATGCAGAGACGGGTACATTTGTCCATTTAAGTGCAAGGAGACGTGAAATATCAATTCAGTTTTTGCATATGGAAGTGAGTTCTCTTTTCTCCTTTCGCTTGATTGATTTAAAGTCATTTGAATGTGTAAATTGGTGAGACAAAACACAACTTTCAGTCTATGATGATAAAACTTTGCAAGTAATCTGCGAATCACATGCGTGCCGAACCGTGGAGCCTGGTCCATACGGATCAACTATGATCCATTACAGCCCTAATATATTTTATTAATAAATGATTTACATTTTTATATATTTTAAAAGAAGTATAAGGATAATCCATGCACGGCATTAAAAGATGTGAAGGCAAAAAAAAAAAAACACCCGCCAGCTACGAATCGTTAAATTAGCATTCTAACTTATTGCCCTGTGACCCTGCTAAAACTGTTGACACTTCAAGCCCCCAATGTTAAAACCAAAACTACGCCCTTGGTTTAATCACTTCAAAAACAGCGATGTTACCACCTTGTTGCTGAGTAATATAATTTAGAGATTCAGTAGAGATGTTAATTTAATACAAATCGTGTTTACAACAACTTTCTGTTGTGTTATTGAATGTTCCTGTGTGTGTGCACAGTGCGATCTCCCATCTCTGTGTGTGTATGTGTACGCGCAAAAGTCATCGGCAGGTTGTTTGATTTTGTTATTGTACACTGCCCTTAGTCAAAAGAGCCCTACCCCCATATCTCTGATATTCTGCTGCCAAGATATGTCTGGGCTATATTAATTTGGGTTTGCTAGGGTGGTTTGTAGGTAGTGTTTTACAGCCCCAAGTTAAAAGACATTCCTGATATGATCCATATGACCCCTTTTCGATTTATGTTTCTTGTATAAAGCAGTAATAGCATAATTTGAAGTATTATTCGCATCCATAGCACACGCACCAGCATTTTGTCTGGAGGAAGAAACGATAATTGTGATGTTTGCCTTAGCAAGCACTAATTACAGTAGTCCAGAACCAGACAAAGAAAAAGCAAATGTGATATGGAAACTGTGGTTTGCAGAGATCTTCCTGTTGTAGATATCTCTGCACTGACAGGAGAAAGCTGCTATTGTTGGCATATCCAGCTTGTGTTTTTCCTTTCACGTATAACCACTACAATCGCCTGTCCAAACAATTAGTGTGATCAGTGCTTGAGCTAAAGTAGCTCAGAGCGGAGTGGATTTCATTGATTCACAGCTGTATTTTTTTTTTTTTAGCCAGTGATGTGCTTTCTCCAGTGAATGGCAATCACTGATGTTGGTGAATCAGCATTGCACACTCAACCGTGCTTTTATCACTTCAAATTCAAATCTTTGTGGTCGAGCCCACACCCTGTGCAGAGCCTAATACAGTCTGATCCACACAAACCTGTTAGACCGAACAGAATGGCTTTGTGGGGTGTGTACTGTGTAGGTACAGCATGATGACTTTTAAAGAGGTATAGGCGTCATTTATGTGCTTTGAATCGGTGTTATAGCATCAGTGCTACATAAATACCTGGCATCAAGTTGTCAGAATGGAGTACCCTCACTAGTAAAAGTCACAACAGGGATTTACAAACTTTATAACATGAAGTGCTATTTTTAATCTGGTTTAATTGACTATGCGCCATGTGAATTATTTGTTTACGGCGAAAAAGCATGTTTACCATTCTATTTAGCTGACGTCTGGCTAAAATGCTACTGTGTTAACGTGGCCATTATAGGGATGTAATGTTTTGAAGTCCCAGAGCAGGCTCTTTATTCTCTGCTTAAAGGTGCTCTAAGCAATGTCACGCGTTTTTTAGGCCAAAACATTTTTTGTCACATACAGCAAACATCTCCTCACTATCCGCTGGCTGCCTGTCCCCTGAACACACTGTAAAGAAACGCGATCTCTGTAGACAGCCCAGGCTCCACAAACAGCAACAAAAATAAACTGCGGCGACCCGCTCTCCGAAATATAACAAACTGTTCCAGCCAATGACCGACAAGAAGGGTTTGGGGGCGGGGTTTGGGGGGTTAGTGTGCGGATGAGGAGGAGGGAGGGTCTAGCTAGCCTCCTATTGTTTGACAATAGTTCGAACGTCAACAAGAAGTGACGTCACCCAGGATCGCTTAGAGAACCTTTAATGTTTAATGGATATCTGCCTGACCACTAAATTTGGTTGACCCACTGGCAAAACTTGGAATGGGATACTAGTGTATTGCTTACTGCACTGTACATTACCATTCAAAGGTTGAGGGTCAGTAAGTTTAAAAAATAAATAATACATTTATTCTTTAAGGATGCGTTAAATTGATCAAAAGGTACAGTAAAGACTTTTAAATTGTTATAAAATTCTATTTAAAATAAATGCAGTTTTAAAAAAAAAACGTTCTATTTATCAAAGAATCCTGAATAAAAAGTATCATGTTTCCAAAAATTATTATTAACTATTTTCAACTTTGCTAATAATAAAAAAGTTTCTTGAGCAGCAAATAAATGCAATAATATTTTGATTAAATAAATGCAGCATTGGCTGAGCATAAGAGACTTCTTTCTTTCACACACATTTATGACCTTTACACATGAATCAAAACTCACAGACCTTTAAACGGTAGCGTATGCTTTATTGATTGCAGTTGTTTTGCAATTTTAATTGGTGTCAAATATCTTAACTCTTGGTTGTCTGATCAACTAATGAGATTTGAAAAAATAACGGCTGATTCAGTCAAGTTGACAGTATGTCATTGGGGGACACAGTGTGCTCTGGTTACATGGCACGTATTGGCAAATGTAGTCATCTTGTTTTTTTAATGCAAATTTCATACTGTGCGCTGCGCAGTACACATACTGCAGATATGGTACAAATAGTGTGACAGGGTGCTTTTCTGCTCTAGTACAACGTTTATCTGAGTCCAAAGTCCATCGCATTCCAGTCTTCTGGTTTATACTTGTCAGTCGTCTGACATGCTGTCTGAGAAAAAGACTGTGAGAGTTTGCTGACACTTGGCTTGAGTCACGGATCAGTCCGCTGAGATTGCGCTGGTCTATGAACTAGTCAGTGGTTGACTGCTGTTGGGGTTGCCATGGCAACTGGATGGGCTTTGTTCATAGTCTCAAACTAAGACTGAATGTTCAAGTGCTTGGTGTATTTTGTAATGGGTTATTCAAATCATGAGGTAGTGTACACGGTTGTAGCCAGCATGAGGAATGTTACATAAAGGTTTTTACATTTCATGAGAAATGCGAAATATCATGTTACCTACTTCATCTTGACTGCTTTTTGGCAGATTAACTGGACTCAATGTTTTTATTAGCTAGAGCAGCATTACCTTCTTTGGGCTTAATTGGAGATTGTTTCCTCAAAGGTTTGTGCACATTTTTTCCTTTCTTAGTCTGAGGAAGAGCAGCACCCTTAAACATTTAGACTTTCTGAGTATAGGGACGTTTCTTTTATTAGGTTGTAAATTAATAAAGTACCAGTTTTGTCAATGTCCTGTGAAAAATGTGATAGAAACATTTTACTTTCATATGCATTATATTTATTATAAATGAATAATATTCATTTATTTACATTTTTTGCATGATGCTGGTGTGGAACAAAGTTTTCTAATTATTATCTAATTACTAATAATTAACTAACCGCTAACCTCTAAGAATTTTGACCAATTAATATTATCAGTTAAATGGTTTAAAAAGTAATTCAAGTCATTTTTCAAGATATTTTAAAATGTTTCAAGTCAAGTCAAATATATTTATATAGCGCTTTTCACAATACAGATTGTATCAAAGCTGCTTCACAGTATCAATCAAAACAACTTAACAGTGTTTGTTTATTACTGGAAAAAGACATCCAAGTTTGGTAGAGCTGATCAGTGGTATGTTGGGTCATTTATTTTGAATATCCCCAACTGAGCAAGCCAAAGGCAACAGTGGCAAGGAACCGAAAAACTCCATCAAGTGACCCGATGGTGTCCTAAAACTCCATCAGATGACCCAATGGAGAAAAAAAAACCTTGGGAGAACCCAAGCTCAGTCGGGGCCAGTTCTCCTCTGGCGTTTATGAAGTAGAGGCCGAATTTACAGTAACTGTAAGATAACATTTATATGAATGCCTGGCTAAATAGATGCGTCTTTGCGCATTTTGCGCATTTTTGATAGAGAAAAGAAAGGGATAAATCTTGTACAAGTTGCATTTTATTATTAAATTCGGAAATAACGTAAAATACCGGTAAATAAAGCAAAATGTTTACAAACATAATAAACACTTGTTATTTTGAATGGGACTTATTTAGTAAGATTATGCCTGAAAAGGTTTGGGATTTTTTTATCATTTGTTAATTTAAAACGAATTGTATAATATGACTTTGTGTTTGTTTGCTTGGTTTTATAGTATTTATATGATATTTGTAAAAATAAAAATAGCCTTAGATGGTATCATCTAAGATGGTATCATGGCATTAAATAAACTATCTATTGGGTCATAGACACTTATCCATTCTAATTTAATTCTAATTTAACAATCGTGTCGGTTTATGATCGGTTAAAGAGCTTTGCTTGACGTTAAAAAAATGAAATGAATATCCCTATAGTACTACATTTACAAATGTACTTTATGCTGTCATGAAATTTATAGATAAAATGCATTGTGCTGCATGAAAGTGCAGTAATGTGACACTTCTTTGTCCTCTGTTTTGTGGCACAGAGTTCTCACATCCCCATGATTGATGCTTTGATGATGGCCTACACTGTGGAGATGATCAGCATCGAGAAGGTTGTGTCCTGCGTGAAGCGGTTCTCCACATTCAGTGCCTCCAAAGAGCTCCCTTTTGACCTTGAGGATGCTATGATCTTCTGGATCAACAAGGTGTGTTTTTTTTTTTTTAAAGGACAAGTTCGGTATTTTACACTTAAAGCCCTGTTTCAAGATCGTTTCTGATGAAATAGAACGGTTAAGATAAAAATCTGGACAAATCTGCACCCCCCCACCTCCACAATGGTTGCATAGGTGCACTGGAACAATCCTTCCTAAAACGCATTAAACTTTAGTTTACAAAGACGTTAAACTCACCGAGTGGTCAGGGGTGTTCACTGATATGCTCACACAAAAATCGCTGAAAAAGATGCTTTCCAACAGGTTTTATCGTAGTTTTTGAACAACTCCATTTGACTTGACTTGGACAAAAACTACGATAAAAAAAAATACCGAACTTGTCCTTTAAGGGTGTGCCCCTTAGTCAAGTCATGTTTGTATTGGAACTGTCCTTGATGTATCAGACTAACTTGCTTTTTAACTGAACACAGTTTAAATGGTGAAATTTCAGTTTGAATAGACATATTGTGTTACATGTACTAATAGCTTACCTGCATTTGTCTAGTCACTTAGGGGGTAGTCTCGCGTAGCCAGACCTTCAGACTGACGGCTGAAGGTCTGGAACTCATAGCAGCTTTCTTTGGCCAAGGCCCGCCCATAAGGCCGTTTGACCGACATGTCAAACAACCAATTACAGTTCGTTTCGTTCAGCGTCACGTGGAAATGTCCCCACAACAACAGACCGGCGTGCAACAAGTCAGTCAGCATAGAAAATCAAAGGAGGAGAAGAAAACCGAACACAATACTGAATCGGCCAGCTGCGATGTCAGCGTCTGTTGTTTCATGTTTGCCCGCAAACGCGGCTGATATCCCCTTCACAGTTAGGTATTTCACTTGATCTTCCATAATAGATCATAGCTGTCAACATTGAACATTGAATATAAGGGAGATTTCCCGGAATCCATCCCCAAAATAAGGGAATTTTTTTACACGATTCTTACCCACCACAAACTTTAAAAATAAAGCACTAATCATTAAAAGTCTAAAGAGTTTATAACTACAAATGAGTGAGAGAGAAAGAGACAGTGTGTGTGTATTAGAGAAAGTGTGTCATTTTTTAAACATTTTTTATCAGAGAATGTTTAAATACTAATATCAGCTTACGAGGGAAACGGTACGTGGTGCTTCGGGGGCTGCTGGAGATGATTAGGGAGAGGTCTGTGCTCCTTTACCGATCAAAGCGCGCGCTGACACGGAGTATAATTGTTTATACTTGACTAGGGCTGTGAATCTTTGGGTAGGCAGCGAATCGATTCGATTCACGATTCATAGGTTTTCGATTCGATTCAAGAACGATTTTTGCAAATTCAGAAAGATTCGATTCGATGCGATTCACATTAAAATTCGATGCGATTCGATTAATTCGATTCGATTCTTAATTTTTTATATGCATTCATAGGATTATTTAAATGCTTCCCCCAATGGGTCTTAGTCAGGGTGTGAATTATACAGCTGCCTTCGGGGGTCAGAGAGTGAAAAAAAAAAGAAAGAAAAAAAACAAAACGACATTTTGTCTATTGTTAACGTTAGTTCCTGTTAGTTTTTAATGAACCTATTCTTATAAAAAATATTTCCAAAGCCTATAAATTAGCATTTGTAAAAATGTAAACCAAGATTTAAAAAGGCTTTAAAAGTATAGTTCATCATGCTAACTATTTTGTAGGAATGGATACACAACCTTAAAGTGTTCCTACATTAAACATCCTTCCATTGTGAGACTAAAAATACCATGAACTTTCCCAACTAAAACCTTAACTAACGTTTCCTCATGGAATAGCTATACTCTTTGTTCTCTTTATCCGACTGAACATTTTCCTTGTGATTCTGAAAGAAAACGCGCCGGCTGTCTACTTTTGCTATTAACGATTATGAATGCAACTTTAATGCGCATCTGATTGATGGATAAACCACTCGCTCTTATTTCAGTGTAATTAATGTTGTAGTTATTTCATCAGTTCAGTTTAACGACATTAAGTTACATTTCATTCATCATTCATGATTAATCGGTGTACATTTTAGACACCTAAATACGTTTTCTCTTTCCATGCATGTAATAAATGCGCACCCTTGAATAAGTGGGGTTTTACTTTAACTGCTCAGGACGGGTATGACCCATTTCCGTAAAACTTCAGTATCTTATCTTAAAGAAAATAACGGTGAGTCGGTGACGTTTCCACGCAACGAACGCGTTGTTTCATAGCAGTGCCCGGCTGCCCGCGCAATGATATGGCAGCTTTATCAATGGCTTGCTTTCTCGATAGAGAGCTGTCATCTGCTCATGTGAACACCAATGGCTGTCCTGAGGAGAGCTCAAACACGGACTGCTCAAAAATCTGCAGACGAGACCTATATGGGACCGAGCGCGAGCGAAATCCAGTGAAAGATGGTAAGAGTGCAGCGAGTATGTGAGAGCTGTGAGGACGCGAATTGACGCCGCACAACGCCTCATTAATTCGCGCATGTAGTCATTTAATTACTGTTTTTATGTTTTAAAGCACTGAATCGATATAGAATCGCAAATTATTCGATTCTTAGCATTTTAAATCGAATATTGACCGAAATAAACGATTCACAATTCGAAATACATGTTTCAAGATCGATGCATATGCATCGTCAGGATTTGTAATCGATGCATCGAGAAAACGAATGAATCGTTACACCCCTATACTTGACGCGTCCGCACGAGCGCGGCAAAGATTACGCGTTGGGTGCGCAAGACCGTCAAGACCCCATTTCGCTTGGCTGTGTGCACAGCTTTTTTTGTAAGCGCGGCGCCGCATCCGAGGATGAACGACTTCAAGCCGAATCTGCCCGAGCATGTACGTCTCACACAATCAGAGCGTAAAAATACGGGATATTTTACGGGAAAATAATAAAACGGGAAGACAGCGGGAAAAGAGCTAAAATACGTGAGAAACCCGGAAAAAACGGGAGGGTTGACAGCTATGTAATAGATAGGAGGGGACACACAACTAGTAAAGTTGGATCTGCTGGGAATCCTTATAAATGCTGACAAAGGGTCGGCCAGGCTTGGAAAATAATACTCTTCCCAAATCCCGTCGGCAAACAGGCTAAAATATCTCTTTTTGTCTCCACTAAGTGCCTCAAACAAAACTCCTGGACATCTCTTAAAGAGTCTACGCCGTGAACCTCGCATACTTTTGAGAAATCCTACGTTTAGCTGATCTTGATAAATGCTCATTGTCACTCATGTAAACACAACAGTTTTTCTTCCGCAATCACACGTCTGCGCTTTGTTTCCCGGCAGACCGAAAATAAACGCGACACTCGCACCCCCCGGAAATCCGATAAAATTCAACCAATCAGATGACGACTTCGACATTCCTGAAGTGTTTCCAGTTAAGTGTACCATATGCATCAGACGTTTAGCCAACGTTCCGTGGGCGTGACGTCTGAGGCTGAGACTACTTAGGGGGCCTTTCAGTGCTTGGCCAGATCATGTCCATTCATGCAAGCATGAAGATCTCTGCCAGCATTTTTAAAAGAAGGCTTTAGAAATTTCAGATGTTTATTGTGAATTATTTTATATGTATCATAGCACTCCCCTTCTTTGTGCTGCAGGTGAACCTGAAAATGAGGGAGATCACAGAGATGGAGCACAAATCAAAACAGCATCTGCTGGATTCTCCAAGTCATCAGAAGGTACCAGACATCCCAGCACAAGTGTTTCACTCATAGTCATAGATTGTAAAAAACTCTCTAATTCTCAGGTGCTGTTTAGACCTGGTTTTAACATCTGTCTTGAGGAATCCATTCACAAGTGAACATCGTTAAAGACAAGTGTGAACAGGGTTGTATGTGTCTAGAAAACTTTATTAAAACTGCATTGAAGGAAATGTTAGGGGGAAAGGGGTTTTTATATATTTTTTTTGGTTTGGTTTTGTAAATAATTGCAATTTTAATTGGAAATCTAACAATTAGACATTTTTCTTTCTCCATTTTCAAAGTCTCTAATTTCAAGTGTTCACTTACTGGAGACGTGTTTGAGACATGCAATCGTCTGACCACTTTATCATATCAAATGCAACGGTTGTTAATACCAGGTGTAAACAGGACCTCAGGTGTCAACTGAAATGTCAAGACTCATCTGAATACATAATACTAATGTAACAACAAACGGCTTGTGGAAATGATCTATTATCTTCAGTGGCATCACTCCTGTTTCTCCTCTAACCTCATAGCAGGGTCACATCTGTCTGCTCTTTTCTTCCCTGACTTTACATCTTCTCTGCTCCTCTTCCCGTCTCTTTCCCTCTAACCTCCTCCCTCGCTACTGGGATAGTCTCCCTCAAAATGGTATTGGAAACTAGTACCTGTAAGTTTGCTGTGAGTGCTTCCTCTCCACTGCACGCGTAGTATGTGTCAGTCCCGACGTACGCCATCACCACTCAGGTCACGCTTTTATCTAATCAGTGCACACTGGAAGACACTGTTGTGCAGTGGCTCACGCTGTAATCGCGCAAAATGATCTGCCTTTCACCCTTTGAGCACATGCAGTTATGAGCTAACACATGCCGCTGAGCGTAATTTGTGTGTGCGTGTGTGTGCTTGAGAGAGAGTTTGTGTGTGTTGGAGTCTCTTACTTTGGCTTTCGTCTTCTCATCTTTTGCTGTCATTTCCATCTTCATTTGTCTATTTCTTGTTCTGTCTGTCTCTCGGCTTAGTCTGTCCTTCAGGCTGATCTTGTGTTTGTACCTGCCCATTGCATGCGGATTTTGTGGGGGTTTCATGAGTGGCACAGAGATCCTCTGTCTCCATTCTGCTACCTTTACCTTTAGATCTGTCTAGATTTCACTGTGTCCTGTCTGAAACCTAGACGTCTGTTAGGGCTGAACACTTGAATACATTTACACGATTATGATTATGGCTGCTGTGATAAATGTGTAGATGCTGTAGTGGTCAACCAATATATATGGTTAATATGCAGGCCGATATCTGGCTTTCATTTTAATTATCGCCATTGGCTGATAGATTTATTTTTTCAGTGTGTCTGATAAGAGTCGTAGAAGAGGGACTTTTATTTTGACAGCACTGAGAACCCCAGTGCCTGCTAACAGATCTGTCTGATATAAATCGAAACGCTATAATACTTTTTTCCGTATACATATACCTCGGTGCATGATGGAATTATTTCAGAAAATGTCAAATAAATATATATTTCATTACAGAAATTATTAATGTATTATTTACTGTCTTTAAATGTGATATCATGCATATCGGCTTTATATCAGCCGTCTGCTTCCCTGCTCTCTAAGCCTGCTCTGCACATTTTGAATGTCTCCCTTATCTGACACTCTTAGTTCAGTTCATGGAGCTATTTTCTAACAAGCTGATGATCTGAATCAGGTGTTAAATAAAGACCACATACAAAATGTTGAGAACCACTGCTCTAAGATATTGGCAAGCAAACGATTCACATCAGTCGACCACTACATTTGCGGATCGTTCGTATTTTTGGTTCTTGTCTTTTTGTTGGTTTTCACAGGTGTTTTATGCAACCATTAATAAGAAAGTGTAGTTTTAGTCCTATAAGTATCAACAGTGTATCAATGTTTCTTGCTCTTATGATTTCATATCACTAGTTGTTGTTGAATTAAGTTTGTTGTGATAAACTATTTTGTGGCCAGTCACTGTTCTGCTGGATTGTTGCGTAAAGGATCAGTTTACCCAAAAATTAAAAGTGCCATCATTTATTTACCCTCATGTTGTTCCAAACCCCTTATGCTATTGCTTTATCAATGGAACCTAAAAGGAGTAGTTGAGAAGAATTTCCAAGCTGATCTTTTCCGCACAACAAAAAGTGAATGAGAACTGGGCCTGGACCTGGACATTTTAGAGCTACATTGGAGCAGAAGAACTCATTTTGTTTTAGTTCATAAGTTGCATTGACATTTTTTAATATGCTGCTGTACGTTTGTATATATATATACACTCACCGGCCACTTTATTAGGTACCCCATGCTAGTAACGGGTTGGACCCCCTTTTGCCTTCAGAACTGCCTCAATTCTTCGTGGCATAGATTCAACAAGGTGCTGGAAGCATTCCTCAGGGAGTTTGGTCCATATTGACATGATGGCATCACACAGTTGTCGCAGATTTGTCGGCTGCACATCCATGATGCGAATCTCCCGTTCCACCACATCCCAAAGATGCTCTATTGGGTTGAGATCTGGTGACTGTGGAGGCCATTTTAGTACAGTGAACTCATTGTCATGTTCAAGAAACCAATTTGAAATGATTAGAGCTTTGTGACATGGTGGAAGTAGCCATCAGAGGATGGGTACATGGTGGCCATAAAGGGATGGACATGGTCAGAAACAATGCTCAGGTAGGCCGTGGCATTTAAACGATGCCCAATTGGCACTAAGGGGCCTAAAGTGTGCCAGGAAAACATCCCCCACACCATTACACCACCACCACCAGCCTGCACAGTGGTAACAAGGCATGATGGTTCCATGTTCTCATTCTGTTTACGCCAAATTCTGACTCTAACATCTGAATGTCTCAACAGAAATCGAGACTCATCAGACCAGGCAACATTTTTCCAGTCTTCAACTGTTCAATTTTGGTGAGCTCTTGCAAATTGTAGCCTCTTTTTCCTATTTGTAGTGGAGATGAGTGGTACCCGGTGGAGTTTTCTGCTGTTGTAGCCCATCCGCCTCAAGGTTGTGCGTGTTGTGGCTTCACAAATGCTTTGCTGCATACCTCGGTTGTAACGAGTGGTTATTTCAGCCACTGTTGCCCTTCTATCAGCTCGAACCAGTCTGGCCATTCTCCTCTGACCTCTGGCATCAACAAGGCATTTCCGCCCACAGAACTGCCGCTCACTGGATGTTTTTTCTTTTTCGGACCATTCTCTGTAAACCCTAGAGATGGTTGTGCGTGAAAATCCCAGTAGATTAGCAGTTTCTGAAATACTCAGACCAGCCCTTCTGGCACCAACAATCATGCCACGTTCAAAGTCACTCAAATCACCTTTCTTCCCCATACTGATGCTCGGTTTGAACTGCAGGAGATTGTCTTGACCATGTCTACATGCATAAATGCACTGAGTTGCCGCCATGTGATTGGCTGCTTAGAAATTAAGTGTTAACGAGCAGTTGGACAGGTGTACCTAATAAAGTGGCCGGTGAGTGTATATACACACATATACAGTGCGTGCATAATCATTATGCAAGTTGATATTCTGATTTTTTTTCCCAAGCACATTTTACCAATTCCAAACCACATCAATCTTAATAACTACTATTCCTTTTTGTATTTAATAATTTATCAGTGATATATAATGTCGGAAGTGAAAAAACACCTTATATTCAGGTGTGCATAATTATTAAGCAGGTTTTCTTTTACAGGTAAAATGGGCCATAACAGAGATTTAACTCGCACTGAAAAGTCAAAAATTATTAAATGCTCATGAGGAGGATGCAATACTAATGCAATACTAGATATTGCGAAATTAAGGCGTGGCCAATGGACAGCAAAACGCTCATTGGTTCAGCAGGGTCATACAAAAACAGGCCAAGAAGAAAAGACACGTTAACTGCAAAAATAAAAATTACTGACACCGACACAGAATGCCGGACAATTCCCATTTTGTCAAGAATCCTCGTAAGCATAGTCTTAAAGGGGTGATGAACTGAGAAATCAAATTTTCCTTGAGCTTTTGACATCTAAGAGGTCATCAAATTATAAGAATATCCTGTAAGTTTCAGAACTGAAAACGTCCTTGTTAGTCCAATAAAAGCTTTTATTGACACCAGGCTCAGCAAACGACTCGTTTTTCAAAGTGGGGAACTATGAAGACCAAGAGGATAAAACACCACCCCCGCAGAAGAAGATCAACGCCTACTTCAACACGGACGGTTTAGCCCCGTCCACCGATTCGCGCATTACACGAAACTCATTATAATATGCAAAACTGTTATCCACTCACAGCAGTGGGCGTTTACTTACAAGTCTTCAATGCGAGACGCCAATAAAAACCGAGCGTTTTTGAGCTAGGCTCAAAACTAGGGTAGAAAATAGCCTATTACCTATTCATTTTGATGTTTTTGAATGTAAAAAACAAGCGAACGTCATAAGTTGACCTCAGACAACAATATAAAACAATTTAAAAAGCCAGTTCATGACCCCTTTAAATGAGTAAAAAAGTGGTAAATGAATGTAAAGAAAAAATAGGATGTGTCAGGTCTTAAATGTCTCAATAAACCTGCTGCTGTTTGTGTTCTTAATGTTAATCAAAGAGAAAATCACACTGCTCTTGACTGAATAACTTTTGTAGCTTTTATAAGGATTAATCTATATTCAATTTATAGGCCTAATTAGATAAAATAAGTAGAAAATAACCTTAGTGTTGAGCCCTGATTATATTAAAGGCACAGCTAAATGTGACATTTATTACAATGGGTTTATGTGAAGATTGTTTTAAGTTCACTTAATTTAAAAGTTGTTATTTTTTTAAAGCTTATTAAATGTTAAAATGTATATTATATTGACATTAATAATAGTATTGATTATACTGTAATGTTGAATGGCTATAATTAATGGCTACAATTTTGGGGGAAAAATCAATAGAGACCAAAATAAATAAAATAAAAGGGTGCCATAAATTTAAATATACTGTCTTTGTTGTTTCTATATTGTTTTGGAGATTCGACGTTAAGGTATTACAATATAAAAATATATTAAAAATGTTTAATGTTAGGTGCAATTAATTACAGAAAAATTGTGATTAGTAAAAAAAAAAAAATGAATCGATTGACCAATTATTTTTATTATTATAATGTTTTTTTTCACAGCCCCAGTCCCTATTCACTTATGTAATATGGAGAAGAGCAACTTTGACATTCTGCTAAACATCTCTTTTTGTCTCTCTTGGAATTTTTTTTTTTTAATGACATGAGGTTTAGTAAATGACAATTTAGTTTTTATTTGGATGAACTAATCCTTTAACTTGTCTGTTAGTCTTAGTCACTTATGTTATAACTGTTGTCAAGTGGCTATCTAGTTTTGTTAGACCGACAAATACTATTTAGCCTCAAGGATCAAATATGTTCCTCTTGCAAAAGTGCCTCTTGCCTACATGATACCAGTGCCACATACCAAAGGTTACTTTGTGGAATAAAGCCTGTTGTTGTAGGTGTTTTTGACAATTTGGCCTCCTCTCATGTCACCTCTAGGTACGGTATCGGCGGGATCATGCCTCAGGTAGACAGATGCCCTTCTTCCCCCTTCTGGAGGACCTGATCAGGGACGTGTGTGACGGTGCTGCACTGCTGACTGTGGTCCATTACTACTGCCCAGACCTGATGAAGCTTGATGGTAGAGTGAAATAACAAACTAGTTAACTAGTATTTTTAAAGGAATTTCAGACCTGCGTGTAATCTCTTCACCGCTAGTGGCACCAAATTTAATCAGGTCTCCCAAACACTCCTTCTGCCTCCTCCACCCTGCCCCCTACTTCCTCCTAAACAGTTTATTAAGTAGACCCCCCTCCAGTTACGCCATTGGTTGAGACAGTTGTTGCTATGTCAGGCAGCTTAAACAAACAGAACATGTTTTGATGGCGCCACAGCTTACTTTTTAGGAAAATCAACATGGACCCACAGTTATTTACTGCACATTCAGCTGGAAAAAGAGAAAGTATTTTAACACACTGTCCCTTCAAGATTGGTGCTGCACTTCATTTTAATCTTGTAAATCTTTACATATGAAATAATTTGTTGATTGAGCCTTTATAGACATGTCAGTGTCATTGTTTTTCTCAAGATGCACAGCAGTAATGCTTTTTTTCTTCTTCTAAGGAATCTTTATAAAAAGCTACTTAAATGTCCTAATTGAACTAAGGCCTAATCCTGGGTTAATCTAAGCCCTGTCTGTGAAACCAGGTCCATGCTTTTATGGCTCACAGTATGACTTGCATAGTACAACGAGGAAAGAAACACCTGAAGGCCCAAAACTGAGCAAATATATGCAATTGGGTGCAATTACTGATATTTATATGGCCAAAAAGTAAGATGAAATTCTGATCTTCAACCAGATTATATAACGGTGTAGCAGACTACTTACAATGTACATAAATTGTCACTATATTGTCCAATAATATGTCTTAGTATGATGATATTTAAATGCTTATATTTAAGCTAAGTAGTTTTTAATTGTGGGGGGCAAAACATATAATGCAATGCAATACAATTATGATATAGACATTTACAAATAAATATTCCTCAAAAGTCAGATGTATCATATTTGATAGTCTAATTTGAACAGATTTCTCTAAAAAAATGATGTATGGATAATCAAATAAACCTAAGTTGCTTCGGTCCAGTAAATTAACTTCAGTAAAACAATCAGTAAACAATTCAAAGCAAAAAGACGCATGTTCCCACTACCTGAAAGGGCACGTTTTTAGAATTATACTAAAAGGCCTATTAGTATTAAAGTATTAAAAAAGTAAAAACTTTCAATCAGACGACAGAAGGCATTTAGTAGGTTTTTCAGCGATGCTTTGATTGTTGATAATTTCAATTTTAGAGGCCATAGAAATTTGCATATCAAATATGATACAGTAGGTATCTTGAAGTTTGTGTTTGTTGGTTTGCTTTTCATAATGTTGTTTGACTGTAGTTTTATTTCCCTGGTGGTGTATCTCGTAACGGTTCTATGAAATGTTCTTTTCTGATACTTCAACTCGCTAGCAAATATTGACCTCTTTGGATTCAGCCCTTGGTTTAGCGTTCATGAATGGCAGAGCCTGCATGCCTCAGGATAGCTTGTTTGCTAACTTTGTGTTTTGTGTTATCTGCAGACATCTGCTTGAAAGAGGTGACCTCAATAGCAGACAGCCTTTATAATATCCAGCTGCTGAAAGAGTTTGCCAATGAGTACCTTAACAAAAGCTTCTATTTGACTTTAGAGGACATGTTGTATGCACCTCCTGTGCTCAAGGTAAGTTATTCAGTTATGTATAATGCATCTCATCATTAACAGGACGTTTCATTTCCCTATGGATCTGTTCTTGATTTATTCCCTGTTTTTTTTGTGTTTTTTTTGCAGCACAACGTCATGGTATTTATAGCGGAGCTCTTCTGGTGGTTTGAGATTGTCAAGCCTGAGTTTGTCCAGCCAAGAGATGTTCAAGAATTTAAAGATGGTGAAGAGTTTTTTTTTTTTTTTTTTTTTTTACTGTGCATTTGTCATATTATTGTGTGATGTGCCTAAAGTTGTTGATTTGTGTTTTCTGCCTTTTTTGCTGACATCTAATTTTTTAATTAATAAAGCCAATATAATAAAAACCAATAAAGTTTACATGAAGCCTCAACCAACATCCTCAAAAGTTGGCTATTGTACTAATAATTTGACTTAATATTATCATTGCAGCAAGAGCAATGACTCAGCCCAAGTGTGCCAGGCCTACTGTGCCCATCTCCAATGCCACCAAACGGAGCTTCCTGGTGTCTCCTGGTGTGGTTGATCCAGCTCTTCCTGTCCAGAGCAGCCCGGAAGTTTGTAACAGGTACTTCCTGCACCCTGAAGAATCTGAGCCTCTGTAAGTGCTTCATGATTTTGTCTCTGTTCCATGTGTAAAATCATTCATTGTGGTAGTTGTTGGTGTAAATGTCAGTGATCTGGTCAAACATTGTTTCAATGTAAAAATATTCTTTGGTCATTCTCAGATTTCTTTCTAAATAAACTTATAACTAACATTCCCTTCTTGCTAAACTAAAACCATTTCTACCAGGCAGACCCCTACTAATTCAGCTACCAGAGTAAAAAAACACCATGCACCGACCGAGTGTTCACTATGACATTCTTCACAAAGTAAAATGATGAAACTTCTAATGCAGAAGAGTTCATTTATCTATTAGACTATGTTTCACATTTTAGTAGGCCACCTCTTAGAGTGTGTTTCAAAAAACTGTTTCAAGATGACGGTTACTTGGTTATCTAGAGGTATTACTGTTATTTTTCTTCGTTTTCTGAAAAGAAAAAAAATAACCTCAAGATAACCTTGTTAAGATTTGTTTATGTTGTAATTAGGAATGGGTCCAACACCCTATTTGTCAATTAGTGAGGTCGAGGTTATATTTAGATATTTTTTGTTTGTGTTTGTGCTTTAATTTAACTTGCTGACAAAGTTTAATCTGTAGCTGCATCCCCTTTAAAGCACAACCAGATTGCATCGCATCACATAGTTTTGCTCATCACTAGTCATGTGAGCAATACAAGATAGATAAATAATAATGTAGGACCTCTGTGGGCTTCCATATGTTGGGAAATATTCCTTTTGCATTCATGCATGCACTTTAGAAGGAACTTTGCTTGCATGATTATGATTCACGCTTGAATCATATATTGTCTCATAATGTCTTTTGCCTTGTCATGTTGTGCCTGTGTTTTTTCGGCATGCTGAGACAGTACTGCGCTGCCCTGCCCTGCCTAACTTAAATGAATTTTTACTTTGCTTACTTTTATTTCACAGGCAAAGTAAAAATACAAGCTACTTGGAAATAAAATACATTTTAATGTCATGCTAGTGCTCTGTAATTGTAGTATTCAGACTGTTTTAGATGAAGTTATTCTTTTTAAGGTCCTAAACGGAGCAGTGCTGCTTGTCTATATTTATCCATCCACATGGAAAATGTTTAATGTCAGTTACGATTAGATTTTGGCTGGATAGACCTCTGGGGGCCTGGAGATCATCCGTCCTATTTTTTTGTGCTGGTGGTTTGCCAACCATGTTCTCTGCTTGCTGTTTCAGTAATAAGGGGAGTTCCAGCTTCAGCCCCTCCCATCCACTTCTGCCACTGAGACAAAGACAAAAGAAGGCTCAGCCAGGAGAAGAAAGCACGGGTATGGCATTAAGCTTCTGCTGCCATTCATAGAAATACTCTTTAACTATTTTTTGTTGTTGTTTTCATGCTCACACGAACGGTACCCAAAAATTTTGAGTCTCAGATATAGTTAATTTTAGGGATGCACCGAATCCAGATTTGTGGGGTTCGGCCGAATACCGAATCCACTGGTTAAGATTCTGCCGAATCCGAAACCGAATACCGAATCCTACTCTCATCCTCAGTCCATTAACAAAGTAAACACATTAATGAAGTAAACAACGTGGATTTTTCATTTTATTTTATTTTAACTGTAAAAAAAGAAAGAAAAAAAAGAATAAGCAACATTATGCATTTTAACAGCGGCGATGATGTGTATTGTTTAGAGTCCTTGCCACCATGAGACAAATTGGCTTTGCAAATTGAACATGTAGCTCGACATGTCTTGAATTGCCTTCTTTTGACTGAAAGTACTGCCAAACAACACTTTTTCTGCTCAAAAGTTACATTTTCACTTTCTCACAGCCAACTGCATTCGAACGGTCCACCTACTGTAACAAGTGGAAATAAGATGTGTCCCCTTTAAGAGCTGCTCGCTCCCTATTGAACTGTCTGCAGTCTGTATTGTATGTGCCGTGCGCCTCGAACACCCCATGTATGCGAGTTATTTCTGTTTGATGCTCATTTTTATCTTATTTTGTTAAGTAACGCTGTGGACGGTAGAACGTGTGACAGACAGTTAGACGAGTTCGATTGGGGAATAAAGTGCGAGTTGTGAGATGCCAGTTGCCTCCGTGAGTCTGTTTTCTTCTTCCTGACACAACGCGTAACACTATGGGCTTGTTTGACTTGAACCGGCGCTGTACAGACCGATCGGTTTATGACATCAAAGTACCGCGAGAGCATTTCAAAAGCATAAGGAGCCGTCTGCTCTCCATTCGCTCTGATGTCATACTGATGATATGCTCTGATGTCATTCACCAATCGGTCTGTGCAGCGCCGGTTCAAGTTGAACAAGCCTAAGGTAAACACCTTCCCGTAATCAACGGCAGCGACATCGACGTAGCGCGCGTAGTGCAAGCCTAGGGTTCGGTGGAAAAAAATTCTAAGGTTCGGCAGAAACCGAACCCTGTTAAAAAGCCCAATATTCGGCCGAATCCGAAACCGAATCCTGGATTCGGTGCATCCCTAGTTAATTTGTGTGTTTTTTTTAAAGTTCCTTTGCTTAAACTTTGAAAGTTGGATATTTTGTCCATTTGTTTATTATTATAAACTTAAAGTTTAAATGTAATCTGTAACTTAAGCGGTTTAGGCAGAATACTGAGGATTAGTTATTTAGAACAAAGTCCTAACCAGAATATTTGAGTAATATGATATTTGGCTTAAAGAAAATGAAGTTGGTTTTAGCCCCATGATGACCCTTCCCACCCCATTATTTTTATGACTGTTAAGGCCCTTTTGGCCACTCAAGTTTTCATTCGTTTTTTTAGTACTATTTTTTTCCTGCATTATGGTAATGTGAATGAATGCATAAATTATGAAATATACTTACAATTTGTTTCACTCAATTTATGCTGATTTAGACAAACTGTTGTATTGTAATAATTACTACTAGTTAATTTTCATATGAAAAATGTGGGGGGTAGACCTAGATGTGTCAAGTCAGCGGTTGTTTTAGTGAGTGACTTAGAATTAGGTAATCAAATTCTCAGACTTGTGCTTTTCTTATTAGCCTGTCGAAATCGCTCCAATTCTTTGACGCAAGAAGCTCACTCCAGAGGATCTGTGGCTTGGTCAGATAAACGGCAGAGGTACAACACTATTGCTAAATATAAGTACTTAAAACATATTTTAAGACATTACATTGATTTTATATTTAGTTTGGTAATTCTTATCAATTCTTATCATAATAATTAGGCCACTGTCTCAGCTGAATCGGTATGTTCTCCACTCTGCTACGGACAGCGATGCAGACTTGGCCTCGGGCGACAGCGTTAGTCTGACTTGCTCTATCAGTGAGGACAGCCTGGCTTCCACTGTCACACCCAAGCACCAGAGCCATCCGGGTCACGGCAGTGTTAAACGGATCAATGGCCATGCTCTACTGGGCAACGTTAACATGGATGAAGAGGATGAGCTGGTAACCATTGCCAGGGCCGATTCATCTAAGGACGACATCACCCTGTTAAACTCTGAGGATGCAGAGCGACAGAGTGCTACCCCTGGTGCTAAAACATGCATTTGGGGAAGACAGGAGGAAGCATCCTCAGAATCCCGAAACGCCAGTTTCTTCCTGGAACCTTTGATGCCTGCAGTTCTCAGGCCAGCCAAAGAGAAGTCCGTAAGCCTGAATAAGGAAGAAGAGTCAGGAGAAGGGCGGCATCGAGGGTCAGCACGAAGAGTGGCAGGAGCAGAAAGTGCTCTTTCATCTACTAGACGGAGACCTCCGCACACCATTAACCGGACCTTTACCCCCAACACCAGCTCTGAGTTTGAGACCACTATCGAGCACAAATCCAGTGAACTTGTGCCTCTAGCCCCTGGGCAAACGCAAGCTTTCAAACCACTGGTGACAAGTAGCGTTGAGCAGTCTTCTGCTGAGCGGTCACCTGGGTTTTACCTTCATTCATCTGTGCCTGAGGACAAGAGCCCTGTCCAAGCATGGGACATCCATCCAGGGTCTGATATAGAGACCGTGGAGACCATTGAGGAGCAGGATGCAGAGCTCACCAAAGAGCTCCATCCAGACAAGAAACAGTTCTATGAGGAGGACGAAGAGTCGGCCAAACTGTGCGAGGATATGAATGTAAAGGAACATGTGGATAAGGATGGTGGGAGCAGGTGCTCTAGCCCTGGCCAGCAGTCCCAAGTCAGCAGTGTGGCTAGTGGCAGTGTGCGTATGACCAGTTTTGCAGAACGAAAGATGCTGAAGTTTGGTAGCAACCAAGACATCCGGTCCAGCACAAGTAGCTCACAGCGCACAACACCTGATGGCTCAGAGAGTTGTCCCCTTCCTCTGACGTCCTGGAGGATAAAAAGAGACCAGAGTCCCACACCGCAGAACAAGGACAGTACCAACATGCTGGCCTCTGAACTTGTTCAGCTTCACATGCAACTTGAAGAAAAGAGACGTGCAATTGAATCCCAAAAGAAGAAGATGGAGGTCTTCACGGCAAGACAAAGGCTTAAGCTTGGAAAAGCAGCCTTCCTGCACATAGTAAAAAAAGGGAAGAGTGACACTCTCCCTCAGCCTACAAAGTCTGAGTACTACTTGAAAGATGGCCAAAAACTCAATCAAGAGAAGTCATCAAAAGATGATACCTGTGTTGATTCAAGAGATGGGCCGAAAGAGGCTGAAGAGCCAGAGAAGGCATCTCTCGAGTGGGCAGGTGGGGGACCTGTGCCCCCTAGTGCCTTAGATATGGATGAAGAGGTAGATCTTAACGAATGCAATCGCTCCATTGAGTTGCTGAACGAGGCCATAGGAAACATTCAGCAGAAAATGATGCAACTTTCAATCCAGCAGGAAGTGCTTATGAAGCAGAATCTCCAGTCTCCAACAGGTGCTGCTCAACCACCTAGCAGTGACCAAAGTAATGTATCTGAAGCCAGGATCAGAGCTTCTATACATTTCGTTGAACCAAGTGGCAGCCCTGTGATACGAAAGCCGCCCAAACTAAGTTCAGCACGGCCCCGTTCCAAACCATCAGAGCTGTTGCTTAAGGAGCACAGCAAAGGGCAGAAGAGCACTACTCCTACACCTACTGACAGCACCTCTGCCAGGTTCATTCAAGGAGCCAGGCCCCCCAAAACAGAGTCTGAGGACATTGTGCAAAGCTCTTTTAACAAAGGGAATCCAAAAAGCACTACATTCCACCTTAATGATGAAGCTAACTTGAGGATGGTCTCTAGGGAACCAAGTTCTGTGGCGCTTGGTGTCACCTTAGAATCTATGTCCAGTACCTTACAGGACACTGAGGCTACATTTGATGATGGGCCAGCCAGGGATAATATCTCCTCAGAGGACATTTCTAGAGGAAAAGTCAATCTTATTGAAGTAGACTTGTCTGATTTGGCTTCCAACCCAGATGAAGAAAGCACGGATGTTTTGGATGTCACCACCGATGGAAGTGATGGGGAAAAGAAGTCTGGAATGGGCTTCTTTTTCAAGGTAAAGTCAGTGCAGTGAACAAGACATTAGACAAATATTTATCTGAAGGAAAATGGGTTGTATTGTTCTGGCAAAGTTTTTATTTTATGTACTGCTAACATTTTATTAGTGGAATCCCCTAACCCAAAGTATTACATTACATGCAATTTGTCCTACTTCCACTTTCACCTGGACCTGTAAGCAAACCACACTGAGCAACACCCTAGCTAAAACAAACAAAAAACTCTCAGAACGCTATAGCAAACATATAACAACTATAAAGCCTGGAACACACCAAGCCGACGCCGACGAACTAGCGCTGATGAAAGCCGACTGTGTTGTCGCCTCGCGTCGGGGTAAAAGTTGCACTTGAACACACCGAGAGAACTACTGCCGACTGTTAGCTAGAGTGCGCGTTCTGCGCCTGAGTGTAAATGAGACAACTGTCTATTTCTGCAGATATATTCGTCTATATTCGTTATATATTCAAAAAGGGAAACCGACGCTGCAGGCTGCAGATACACAAACCATAAACAAAGCAGTGCGTGCTTACCGTTTTAAATATCAATCCTGCTAAACACTTTCTTTATTCCACTCCGCTCGTGTTAATATTGAAATATTCGCCAAGGAACACTCAGGTAAGATGACGTAACATAAGAACAGCCTTCTATCTGTACCGTTTTGACTTCTTTGCTCGCTGTGTTGCTATTATTCTCGAGCATTGACTCTTTCATTAAGCTGAAAAGCCAATCAGAGTTCCCTCTTTCACCGACGGCCCGACACCGATTCAACATGTCGAATCGGCTGAAACAAAGCCGACGAGGACCAATTTCAGCCGACGGCACGGAACCGTGCGGAACACACCGAGGAAACTTAGTCGGCCGACGCACAAAAACTTGGTGTGTTCCAGGCTTAACATATAACCCTGGGGAAACAGCCCAGAAAACCCTAGTGTTTCAGAAAATGTAAAAATCCAAAAAGTTTTGTTGTTAAATGTCTGCAGGATGAGCAAAAGGCAGAGGATGAATTGGCCAAAAAGCGAGCAGCATTTCTGCTGAAACAACAGAGGAAGGCAGAGGAGGCACGGCTCCGCAAGCAGCAGATAGAGGCTGAAAGTGAGCTGAAAAGAGATGAAGCCAGGTATTGACAACCCCTGAAGTGCCGTCCTCCAGGAATATAAAAACGGTAAAGAGAAGCTCTGCATTTTTTTATGGAGTTTGTTTGTTTAAAGCCATTCTTCTCTCCCAATTCCAGGAGGAAAGCTGAAGAGGATAGAATCAGAAAAGAGGAGGAGAAGGCTAGGAGAGAGTTGATAAAGCAGGAATATCTTAGAAAGAAACAGCAAGAGATGTGTGAGGAGCAAGAACAGCCTCAACCCAAACCGAAGACCAAGGCCAAAAAACAAAGGCCAAAGTCTGTGCTGAAAGAAGAACCTTCAATGCATATGCTTTCCAAGTGCCATGCTGCCAGTAAGTTTTAAATCATGCCTTCTGTTATTGCAATATTGCTGAGTTACATTTTTGCTAATAAACATTTGATTTAAACTGAAATAATGAAACTGTCCTTCACCAGATGAGAATCTCATCAGTGCCCAGTCTGGTTCTAATCTATCACTGGCCTCTGTGGCCACCACTGAACCAGACAGTGTCAATTCAGGAGGGGCGGGATCTCAACGGTAAGTCCTACCCACTGTCCTACAGGGTGTGGGCCTATGTATTAATTTGTTTCAGAATCAATTGAATGTGTTCAGACTGTGACCTCCAGAGCACATTAATGTTGCTGTTCGTTCTTTCCACAAATAGAGGGGAATCAGTAGAATCATTTCCAGGCCTCAGTCGCAACTCCAGTCGGACTACAGAGAGAGACTGGGACAACGGTTCCACCGCGTCTTCCGTTACATCAACGTCCATGGCAGAATACACCGGTGAGTTTTTCACTTTCCATTCTGTTGGAAGCAAGTGGTTTATACTTGTGTTGATGCTCAATAGCTGTGGGTACCACGTGTTGGTCTCATGTACTAAATTATTTAAACTTCCTAGGATTCCTCTGCACCAGGACAACATCCTGGGTTAAAAACCGCAGCATGCTGCTGATATCATCTCGACCATGCATTAGCCAGTATGTTTGTCTTTGTGCTTGAGCACATGCATGTTTTGCTTGTGCAGACATTAGTGGATGAGTTTGTCCTTTAAGCCTGAACTCTCTGAAGTGTCTCTAAAGTGATGTTTGGGTTCATGTCAGTTATTTGGGTAATGCTCAGAATTGCGTAGTTACATTACCATTGATAAATTTTATCTTAACATTCACCGCAGAGAACCTTTGAAGCATGTAAGGCAATGGATTGTTAAGAAGGAGAATAAACAGGTTTGTGGCATTTGTTGGGTGTCAGAATGATGGACGAGGTAGTTTAGATTGTAATCATGGAGACTGAGAATCTCCTGTACGCATCAATGAGAGCTGTATATTGGGTTCAGAGAGGGACACCATGTCCTAGCCAAGTGACATAACAAATTGACGAGCGATAAACGCAAGTTGCTCCACATAAGTTTAATTATTAACATTTAAATATGTTCTGTTTAAGTGATTTTTCTCATGTCGTAAAGCTTTTATTTTTCACTTTCACTGTGGACAGAAAAATAAAGAAAAATAACAATGCTCTGAAAAATGCAGTCTGCTGCATATGATCAAATCTAAGTAACGGTTGTGATACTATGTCTTTGGTCCTCTACAGAAGTCCCAGTGAACCTTTCTTCTCATATTGAAAGTTTTTTATTCAGCAAGGAAAGTGACAGCAAAGCAATTTATGATGTTTCGAAATATTTCGGCCTCATTTGTTAACATTTAATGAATGTGTTAACTAACATGAACTAACAATGATCATGTTAGTTCACAGTGCATTAACTAATGTGAACAGATACAATTTTGGATTTTAATAATGTATTAGTAAATGTTGAGATTAACTTGAACTAAGAATGAACAAAACTTCTACAACATTTATTAATCTTAATTAATTTGAACTAATGTAGTTAACTAATGTGACCTTATTGTAAAATGTTACCTTTTTAAACTTTCTATCAGTTTCCACAAAAATATTCAGCACAACTGTTTTCAACATTGACGATGATATATTCATATTTTGACACATTTTTTGTGTGTAAGTGTCCGATTCCAGAATTGGAATTGATTTTCGATTGCTAACACTAATCTTGGTGATCATAAGATACTTTTTTAAAACATTTAAAATGTTCTCCTTAAGTGTTATATTGAAGTTGTAATATTTTTTTTATATAAATATTTTGTCACTGTAGGACCCAAGCTTTTCAAGGAGCCGAGCTCGAAGTCCAACAAGCCAATAATCCACAACGCCATCTCTCATTGCTGCTTAGCAGGGAAAGTAAATGAACCACAGAAGAACTCCATTCTTGAGGTGTGTGACCAGTTTGGAGGTTCATGGCATGCAAATAATATTGTGATGTTGCCAATACATTTTGATAATGAACTATAGTCATTTAATTGCCTTCTTTTTGACCTGTAGGAGCTGGAGAAGTGTGACTCCAACCACTTGATGATTCTCTTCCGGGACAGTGGGTGCCAGTTCAGAGCCCTTTACTCCTACTTCCCCGACACAGAGGAGATCCACAAGCTCACCGGCACAGGGCCCAAGAGCATCACTAAGAAGATGATCGACAAACTCTACAAGTACAGCTCGGACCGCAAGCAGTTCAATGTAATCCCCGCCAAGACCGTGTCCGTTAGTGTTGATGCGCTGACTATCCACAACCACTTGTGGCAAGCCAAAAGACCCGCAGGACCAAAAAAGAGTGGAAAGTGAAGTCAGATGGCACTCATAAGATCTGCACTTTTACATCGAGGCCAGTAATCACTTTTCTGCTTCCGTCAGAGTTTGGATGGAAGAGGCTCGCTGGACAAACAAACAGGCATGAGTCAACATGCACTTCATTTGAATGTGTTTTGGGTTGAAGTAGTCCTTTACCCCCAATCCTGTGGTCTTTTTACCTGATTAATTTTTTCGCTACTTTAAGTATTTATTAGTTTGGCACTGAATAGCGAAACGCTTCCCCCATGATTGTTTTCGTTTGATTTGTTTCCCTCTTTTTTTTTTTGCAAGGGATGTGAGTATTCCTTTTACCATCTTCAAAACATGTCTGCTGCCTCTGAGGATTGCTAGAACTCGAATTCATGTAAAAAAAAACAAATAGCTGACTTGCCTATCAAACAAACTTTTTTTGCCTCCGAAACATGCTGCTCCTTTGTTGTCGCTGGGACAATCCCAGGTCTGCGTACTTTTGGCCTTCATGCGTTGTGGTACTATGTCTGTTTATTCAGTGCTTTAAAAAAACAGTCAGCTGTAGCCCTTTTTTTTTAAACTCGATTGTCCTTTCGATAGGGAATCAAACAGATCTCGATACGTGTCAGACGCAGTTATCTTCTCTTCTACTCTGTAGCGGCCTCTCCACTAAACAGTCTTTACTATGGTGCACTTATGATCATGTTTTAGTGCTTTTATTATCATGCAATGTAACCATGTTGATGTTGGCACTGGAGCTTTTTCTCATGCGAAGAGCAGCATGCTCTGTTATGAAGAGTGTCGCTGTAAACGATTTGAATGACAGTATTTAATATATTCATAATCGGTTACTTCCCTTGCAGTCGCTGTCTACTTATTTACCAAGGTTGAAAACATTCCAGAGCGAAAAGTGTCAACACTGCCGACATCCTTTTGTCTAGACGTTCGAGAACACTCACAGAAGCCTCGTGTTTGGTGTCAAGATCAATTGAGTGTTGCACATGCACTTTATTATTATTTTTTTTGCTCATGAAGGTGTATAGCTGGGGTAGAATTTCAAAGGGCTTACTAAACCATTTTTTTGCTCCTAAAGCTATTTGTTGAAAAGAGAAGGTACTCTGTTATACACTGAGAAACACTAACACCGAAAAGAGCACACTGACAGAACCTTAATGACTCTTAAACTACTGTATCCAAATAATAGGTGTTAGACTTGTCTATACGTCGCTGCATTTTGTTTAATTTTTAATTGCAGTTTTGTATATTATGTGTTTTTATATCTTAACTAAAAGATTGTATTGATGTTGATCACCTGTTTTGTTTTTTTTGTTTTTTAAACACTACTACTCATTCTTGGTCATTTTGCTTCATTTATCATACTATTATTTATTTTAAATAAGAATGAGAATTAATAAATATTTCAAGTCAAAACATTCATTCTCATTTTTTTCCTTTTTAATTGTTGACATTCTCATCTTTCTTCCACTTTATTTTTTAACACCTCTTGCTTTATATAGTAATTGCACTTTGCCTCATACAGTTATGAATATTAGCATCAAGTGTTAAACATTGTACAACATTTACTTTTCATTTTTTTGGCAGTTGATAAACTTTTATATCAATAGCTTTATTGTCATTGGGTGATTGCAAGAAAATATGGTAGTTTAATTACTGGGGGTCTCGTGATGGGCGTCTCAACCTCTGCGAACTGGAATACCGTAGGCCGTGCTTCATCGACAAGAACTGTATCCTTGACAGTCCACTGATGACACAAGTGTATCGTGGCAACTGGCAGTTTATCCACAGCGGGGGACTCAGGTCAGGCATTCGGTGGACTGATGGTCATTGGACAGGAACTCTGAAGACATTGTTTTTTGCTGTTTTTCAATATGCACGGTGAGTATTATTGCACTTCGATTTAATGTTGGCTTCGAAATCAACCAAATTGTGATATAAACAGATGTTTCTTTTCCTCTGCCCAGCTCTCTTTATTTTTGTGGTGTTCCAGTGCATACATGAAGCATGGTGTCAGTCCTGTATACAAACAAATACAGACTATGTTTGCAAGGAGATTCCAAAAGGTAGGATGGTCTGAAGTCACTTGATATTCATAAAAAGAATGTGCGGTTACACTTTATTTTGATGGTCCCCTTCAGACATTCTGTTGACTAGAAGTAATCTTACATCTACATGTCAGCTAACTCTCATTAGAGTATAAGTAGATGGTTAGGGGTTGGGGTAGGTTTAGTAGAACAAGTTAACATGTTACTTGCGTTACTTATAGTCAGTTGAATTTCTGTCTGGGGACCATCACAATAAAGTGTTAGTAGACCGTCTGCTTAATATCTGCTAATACTCTAATGAGAGTTAGCTTACATGTAGGTGCAACTTTAGTTACACTCAACAGAATGTCTAAAGGGGACCATCAAAATATGGTGTTACCAATTGTGCTTGTAATCTGCCAGAGAATACAAGTCAAGTAGGTCAGATAGTGTCAACTCACTATTTTCAAAGGTTTAAATAAAGATTATTGGAGGACTTTTTTTCTTTCCTTTCTTTTCTTCTTTTTTTGTTTCTTACAAGAAAATACTATTTTAGTCTTTCTACTTCAAAATTTCATGTTTAATTCGATGTTACTTGATATTTCATTGTAATTATTTGTGAAATGACCAATGATAAGCTCCTTCTGAAGCCAAACAGTTTAACGACTGAAAGTGGTTATTCACTGGAAATCCTGCTTGAGCTCTGGTCACCATTGACTTTCATTATTTGGAAAAGTGCAGTCTGGACATTCTTCTCAACATATCCTTTTGTGTTCCACAGAAGAGTCATAAAGGTTGCATTTTTAGATGAGCTATCCCTTTAACAGGAGTTTCAGAATAACACACATTTCTATTTCTTTTTCTTTTCTAGGTTATCCTGCTGGCTTGACCTCTGTGTATATGTTTGTGAATGGTTTAGGAGACATCAACTTGTCCATGTTTAACAGCACAAATCTGACCTCTGTGAACAGACTGACTATGACAGGCCAAGGTGTCACAGCAATAGGGCCACAAACCTTTAATAAGTTTCAGAACCTCAAAACTCTTAATTTGGACCGTAATCTTCTTTCCCAAGTCTCGTCAGACTGGTTTAGCCATCATTATGCACTTGAGACACTCGGATTGTCAAATAATAAAATCACTACACTGGATCACAATTCTCTTGAAGGGCTGTCAAACCTGCTCATGCTGGATTTGTCTCAGAACCAGATTCACACTATAACCCAGAATAGTTTTCTCAGTCTTAGTAAACTGAGGCTGTTAAACCTGTCTAACAATCAATTTACGTATTTGAGTGCGGATTTGTTTCTTCCACTTAACGGCACAAAGATCCGTTTGGATGGAAATCCCTGGGACTGCTCCTGCTCTGTGAAGGACTTTGCCAAATACCTGAGAGGTATACATTAATTTCCATCTCATACTTAATCTAATGCAGCAGAAATATCCAACATAACATTATAAGCAAAGAAAACATGCATCACCTCATCCTCATTCCATTTTTTTGTTCAAAAGAACAATTTTGAATTGTAATATTTTACAATATTTGTGTTTTTACTGTATATTTGATCTAACAAATTACTGTTTTTTTTTCATAAAATAAATCCCTTGGTCAGCATGAGAGACATTTAAAAAACCATAATCTCACAGACTCCAAACTGCATGAATAGTGTACATGAGGTTTATGATAGATAATTTTCATTTTTGGGTGAAACTGGATTTTAAATGACTTTCAAACATGTATGCAGGTCTGCAAAATGCCTCGCTGCTGGAGAATGAGATGTTGGTGTGTTGTAACAACCCTCCTGCGCTGAAAGGTCTGCCAGTATGGCAGGTACCAGAGTGTGAAACCCCCACAACCGTGGGCCCTAACACTACGAGTTGTATTAATGCAAGCCTTACCACTGGAAGTCCTGCCACTGTAATTACAACCAAACCTCTCGCAATTGGACACTCCACATTAATCATTTTAATTGGTATGTAGATTTATTGCCTTACCTCAGCCCCCAGTTGGGTAACTTTCATCCACTGTGTTAGCTTGTGTTGGGTTACAGTATGTTATGTTGTGAATGACTAACCTTTTATTATTAACCAGTGGTACTGTGTGCCCTGGTACTTGTCATTTGTGTCCTTTCAGTACTGTACCACAGGAAACGAGAAAGGAAACATCTACAGGCTGTAAAACCTTCTTCAGAGAGATCAGAGATTATACAGGCCAGTGAAACAACTGCAAAGAGCAACCGAGAGGAACACAGAAAAGTGAAATCTGAAATTGCTGATAAAACGCAAATTGCCACAAGAGAGGTCTTACTAAGGACAAACCAGATGGTGGTTGGAGATGAGAAGATATCACAGATTTACCATATTTATTCATCAAGGACATATGAAACTAGAGAACCCATTAAACGCGTGAGCTCCGCCGGGCCGGTCCTCTGCAGAACAGAGATGTTTGCTAAACAGATTGAAGAAGTGGCCACTGAGGAAGTTGGGGAGATGAATGATGAGTATTTCAATGGATGGATGACCTCAGAAAAAGACAATCTGAATATGAATATTGAAGAGGCGGAAAAGTTGGAAGACAGAAAAAACGAGGAGAGTGATGGATTCACTGATGAGTTCAGTAACACCACAGACACTCTGGAATCACACATGGAAAGCCTTCGAGAGGAAAATGAAGATACTGATAAGAGTGTTAAAGCTGGAACAAGTGTAGACGAAGATGTTCCTCAGAATGGTGTGGGGATTGATGTGTTGGAAGACCTGAATGAGTTGACCGTTGGAACAGGAAGCAGTCAAGATATTCTCCAGGTAAATCATGCGACATCCCAGTCTGAGGAGACTGCTGAGAAACTGCCTTACCTCACGATTGGTGCTGATCCAGAAAACCAGACTTCTGTGGTCGATCAGCACACTGCTAAGGTTACATCTGGACCTTCGAGACCCATTCGGCGGGTACTGACCTGGCCTCCGACCGCGGTCCAGTGGAAGAAGCAGTGGGCTCAAAATCAACAAATCCTCAATGTGTTCCCCAAACTAATATTTGTAACCGGTTGCAGGCATGAAATCAGACCATTTCATCCCAGGATTTCTCCTGCAACCCTCCCAACCGCCCCACATTTCAATGCACTGGAGTTTCTGCCAGAAATCACAGCCCCAATGGAAGATGTCAGAGTCGCTATTGATGAGGACACTTACAGGGCAAGTCTCGAGTCATCCACTCAAAAAGTCCAGCATTTCACTGCACAAGAACACTTCACCAATGCTAATAAATCACTGAGGGAAGATGGCAGAATTTTTACAAATGAGGAAACATGGAGGTCAGATCTTGAGTCGACCGTCTTCTCCGACTTATCTTTTAAAAACTCGCCTATCGAAGAAAGTGAGGTCTGCTCTGAATTGTTCAGCATTTTTAATCCATCATTTGGTGGCAGCAAGTCAAAGCCTGCTGTCGGAGAGGAGATAAACAACAGGGATTACATGGAGGAAATGCAGAGCGTGAAGAAAAGGACACACCGAGATCACCAGAGTGAGCAGGTTGCTTCAGAATTCCAGAAGCAGTCCAGGAGAGTTGAGAAAGCGGCACCAAGAGCTCAAAGAGACCAGCGGCGGGGTCAGGTGTGTAACGGCTCTGACTCAAGAGCGCCCCCTTCAGGAGGTTCTCCAAAAGATGACAGCCTGTTGCTGGGGAATGAGTACACCTTTATAGACCTGCTACATGAGGTGGTGGAAAATCATGGGCGCTGGACTCGAGACCGATGGAGACAAACACAAAAAAACAAACTCAAGCACAAACAGAGTCGTTAGGCGCTGGAAAGATATACAGTATAAAAACATGATTGATTTCACAAGATTTTTTTCCCCAAGCTGATCTGGTGTCTGTGCCACATTTAAAAAAATGACAAATGTTATGATCTTTAAATATGAATCTGTTCTTCAGCTCTGTAGGCAAAACCGGCACAACAAAAATACTGTAAAATATGCTAAATATGACATTCTGTTGGATATGGTATGTAAAAAATATCAACTGTAACAGTACTTTTTTTTTTTTATAACAGACTAGTACACACATTTGGTATTTTTACTGCATCATTAAATGTAAAGTAAAATGTGTTAAATCAGGTTTATACTGTGATTCTATACATCAATAGTTATAATATCCATTGGTTGGAAAAACTGTCACGTCTCTGGCTGCATGCAGCATTTATTGATTCATTCTTACATGTTGGTACAGACTTCATTTAAGAACGTGTACAAAATTTAGAAGTTGATGTATTGTTCAGTACAATCCAAAAACAGGAGCCAGCAAATGTAAACATGGGTCTCGGACACATTTGGCAAGATTAGGACATGCATGGTCCATGTTTTCTATAACTACTGAAAAATAAAACAAAGACATTTTGTAAATTACAACAGCTGTGATCAGCTGGTCAAGATATATTTAAATCGTAGGGAACTAGTAAAAATAGAAGACATCTGCAAGCTGTTATTTTGAACATGCACATTATGCATATCCTTTCCAAATGATGGCTGGAAATTTAGGGAACAAATATTATTTAAAAAAAAAACAGTGACCGGTGGACAGAATGTAGGTGACATCTTAACACAAGCAGTAAAACATGAACATAGTCTGATTTACTGTACAGTATTCCGAGTAACATGTCAAGGGATGGTAAAACCGGAGCCTTAGTAACACCCCTATAAACTACTGACAGGTCTTGGAGCTATGCTAAGCAATAAATAAACCGATATGCTAGATCAATGGAAGCTAAATAAGGCAGAAAACATCATAAATACACATTTCTGAAATATTTTAAACCATAGCTACAATGATTTCCTTGTTTCGTCACTTTCATTGTCATCTCACATTTCCTTATGGAGACAGACAGGTAAGAGTTATATGAGAGGTATTCAAACTTAGCTACTTTGAGCAAAGTGGGCATTCACATCTTCTGTATAATGAAATATTAATACGCCTGTCTGTTGAAAGAATAGAAAGATTAAAAACAAAAGCAGCTTTTCATGATAGATTGAAATGTCAGCTCCATATATTCAGCTAGAAATGGTGATGGAATACAGAAGCACGTCTTGATACAGAGGGCAAATAATTTGTTTTTTAAATATATTAATATAATCCAAAAAATACAATATAAATAATTTTTTCGAGCCATTATTTCACATTTTAAATCACTCATAAATTGGTTTCATTTATGTAAAATGTATTGTGAAATGCAAATGTTAAAAAAATGTTTTATGTAGTTTAAAGGGTTACTATGTACTGCTCTGTCAACAGAGCTTTGTGCAATACAACCGGCAACTCCAAATGATGTAGGGCTTAATTCAGGTTGATTGGGACACTTTTTCCAAGTCATTTCAATTTAATTGCATCTGTTTGTCTGCCTAGATAGATTTGAATCAGAATCAGATAGATTTTTTTTTGTCTTAAATGAGCAGTAGCAATGTACATTTTGTAACCTCCCGCCCAAATAATAATACTAAGTACTTAAAATAACTCGAATAAAATAGTTTTTTTTAAATACTGTGCTGTTGTAAAAAGAAAACAAACGAAGAAAAAAACACTAGGTAGCTTTGAGAAATGTCACTGAAATACTAATGTCTTCTATTGCATCTACTATTATCTTTTGTATAACCCAAAAATACATTCAGTTTGACATCAAACCTTTTTCAACACTGATTGTGTGTATAGTATACCATTTGGCATCTCTTCAATTACACCTAATCAAGATCCATGCAATATGTATGATGCACCTGAAGCACAGTTGGCTTTTGCATTACAGTTCCTGCGAATCTTCATGTTTGCTGTTGAAGAGGTTCCATTTTTTTGCTGTAAACTTCAAATCATATGGCGATGAACTTTACGTTCTGTTCTCGGCCCATGTAAACTGGTATATGATCACATTATAATCATGGCGTTTGGTTACATCTAAAAGCTTCAGCTTGGGATTAGCTTTTCCAACTTCAAACGTAAAACTGTGCTTTGAGGATGAAATCACAACAAAATACTGTGAATACTAAGAGGTCACTGAGCATGTAAAAGAATAAGTGGACTAACTTGTATATGTACAAATATATGTGTACTATATATGTGCTATATATGTTAAAAAAAAATAGCACTGATGTAAACTAATTCTGTTCAATATCATACTGAAACCCCTCACATGTATTACAGGGCAGTATCCAGTGTTCTGGTCCACTCAGCTCAGCTGACTTATGTAATAGTTGTTTCTCTCTGCTGTGTTTAGCTGCCCTCTTCAGTACTGCTTTACCTACTGTTTCTGATATATACTGCCCTATAAATCCAAAGTGCATGGACAGCCTGTTTGGTCCAAAGTGATTCGCACTGAGCCATGTCTCAAATACAAAAATGTAATAACCAGTCACACTCAGAGAAGTCTGAAATGTGCCACGAGATTCTACATGTCTGTGTGGTAGAAAAGAGGAATCTGTAGATCGTTTCAATGGAACAGTTAAAGCCGTTTGGCGTGGTTGGGCAGCTTGGGTTGTCAGTGTGTTGGCACATGGGTTGTATCTGTGTGGTTGGTTGTGTGTCCTGACACTCTTCATGCAGACTGTAGCAGCTCAAGGCGAAGGAGGGAGGGAAGTAGGGTTAAAGAGAACTTCCGGTTCTTACAGATGGGTCTCGTCCCTCGTTTCAGCTCCATAGTCTTGCCGTAGCTTCGCTCCTGCTGGAGCCCCTGGGAGATTGTCAGGGACGTGTGCCAGCGGATCAGAGCGGATGATATAGCTATGGGAAGAGTGGAAATCAAATTGTACGGTTAAAAACCAGCTAGCTAGATCCAGCACACTGTCTGTTTAAAACCAATTGCTGATTCATAATGAAAGTCAGGTCTATCACAAAATGTTGAAAAAATTAAATAAAAACCAACGTCAAAGTGTAATTGCAAAAATAACTAGATTTGTGTGTTTTCTATAGAATACTGATATATGCTTAGCAATGCAAAACTCACCATCACAGTATCTTAGGAGTTCAGAGTGTTAGCATGTTGCCATATTAATAAGGTTCTGGATGGTTGCTAGGGTTTTATGGGTGGTCTGATCACTTTGAGATGTAATAGCTCAATAAGCTGGACAATTTAAAGGGGTGGTTCCGAATTTTGGACATCGGGCCTCATTTCCAAGTTAGCCTTAGTGGTATTTATCAGTGGAGACAGTTTTCAAAAATTTTCATCCAGTCGTTCCAGTTGCATAGTTCGCCGGTGCTAGGCTAGCGCGAGTCAACGGTAACTGCTAGCCTGCCATTAAAAACAGTTTTACCCACTCCACAGTACACCGAAAGCAAATAAATTATAACGCCAGACTATCGATGTAAATGTCTGTTGAGAGAATAATGTTAGAAATCAAACTACCCTTTCATTGCATTGCAATAGTTATACTTTGTTCCCTGTATTTATTAGCACAGTCTACAGCAGCAGTGATATGTAGTTACCTAGGCAACCGAGAGGGGTAGTGCAGGTAGTTCCGACTGTAGTGCGCTTCGGTTCTGGGTTTACTTTTCGGCGCAGTACTACTAACCAGAGCAAAGTAAAATTCCGCCATTGCTGAGAAACTAGTTCCTGTAAATGTATTGCGATCATTGAGATGCAAGAGTAGTTTGATTTTTAACATTATTCTCTTAACAGACATTTACATCGATAGTCTGGCGTTATAATTTATTTGCTTTTGGTGTACTGTGGAGTGGGTAAAACTGTTTTTAATGGCAGGCTAGCAGTTACCGTTGACTCGCGCTAGCCTAGCACCGGCGAACTATGCAACTGGAACGACTGGATGAAAATTTTTGAAACTGTCTCCACTGACAAATAACACTAAGGCTAACTTGGAAAGGAGGCCCGATGTCCAAAATTCTGAACCACCCCTTTAAGGTATTGTTCAAATTATGTGGGACAATATACCAATATAAAAACTTAGTGTTAAGGGTTGGTTCAAACAGGCAGTCCCCGCCCCAAACTCATGCAAGAAGGTAATATGATGGGGGGAAAATGTGTCTTTTTACACTAAGTGCAAATGTCCCATCTACTTCGCAAAGGCTTTTTATATTAACTCCGCCCATCACTGTCAGACAAAATTACAAAAAGAAACCAATCCGGTAACAAGAACAGTGGCGTGGAGAGTGGCAGAACCTGATTTCACCAAGTACAGCATGTTCCAGGAACAACATTCCAATCAACCAATCAGATTTAATCAAGTTTAGGCTTACAACCAGGATAGGTGCTTTACCTCAGTGTTTTTCGCTTATAAAGTCCCTCTGATTTTAAGGATAACTTATGGTTAGAGTTTAGTTTAGGAGTATGGATAGGGTTATGATTACCTTTTCAGACAGGAATGCTGTTCTAGGATCAACAAAATTCGTTGACCCAGGAACATGTCTAACTCTGCAAAAGCAGGAGGACATGCTGGAGAGTGAAGATAGTCGACCTGAGTTTTGAATGCTTTTTTTGTTGATCCCATTCTTCTCCCTATTGCAATCACAAATCAGCTTTAATATCAGACACTTACACAATATCATTGAGCTCTAGAATGGTGTCCGGAGGAGGGTTTATCAGCACATACGACAACGTGTTCTGATTGTCATTCATTTCATCTGCAAGAGAAACAAAACACAACATCACTGTCGTACTTAACCCGTTTCAGTTCTTAATAACCAAAAACATTCATGTGACACAGTTCTGATAAATTATCTTTAACATTTATCTTTATCCCTACTCCCTATTATAAATAATGAAACTTCTCTATACTGTTGAGTTGAGTCAGAATAGCCAACAAAAGTAGGGAAATATATTCAATAAAATGTCAAAAGGGGAGGCAGTTGTTGTGTAACCCCACAGTGTTACGATTTTGTAGGCTGGGTTTCTGAGGCTTTGTTGTATTTTACCTGCTTGTAAATGACTGAGAAGTGTGAACCTTTGCAGTTCTGGAAATAAGGAGACTCAAGACTGGGACAAAGTGTCTCTGCTTCTCCAAACCCACCTGTTTGAGCCACTTATAGTGCCAGGCCAGGTAAAAGAGAGAGAAGGGCTAACCGTTACTGACAGGGCATGGCTGCATTTACGGAACGCCCATGCAACCGCAAGCGCTCCCCATGCGCGGACACATGCAGACAGGGTCCGCATCCACCCACGAATTCAATATTTCCATCCATCCATCCATCCATATACTGCATCATATAATCACAGCTGACCCCATAAACGTTGCTCGGTTGCCATGCTAACACACAGCCCAAAGTCATCAAACAGTGAGACTGACACACAGACAGATATGAGCATGCTTAGAAGATCTGTCAGGCCCACCAGCCAAGGCTCAACCAATCAGAGTGAAGCAAAAAACATTAGTAGTGTGGGATTGGGAGGAGTCAATATTCAAATGCTAATTAAATCATTATACCAATGGGAAACCCAAGTACTTCTTACTTCTCCCAGTATCACCCCGTTAAAAAGAATAAAACAAAAACAATGCCGTAGATCAGTGCAAGCAGACTTATAAGTGTGCACCTAAATACCTGCACTAGGCGGACCCTTCCGACAAAGACTGAATGCTTTCTACTCCACTCTGTCCAAACATCCTGGAATCAAAAGCCCTCACTCATCATGTATTATATCAATGCTCATATGCCAGTGAGTACCTGCAGTACCCTTTGTCATGTAAGTACCCTCTTCAGTTCGTACCAGAGGAGAAAAAGACAACTACATCACTAATTTAACTATTAGATCAGACTTCATTATTTCATAAAACAGGTCAGCACTGCTGTCAAATGACATTGTTGTACAGGAGCATGTTTTTGCAAGCATAATGACGAGACAATGTTAGGTGCAATACTGCAGATTTGGGTATAAAAAATGGATTTTAACATAAAAATTGTGACTAATAGCCATGTGAAAAATACAATGTCTGTAAATGCTGTATATTACATCCACACATAGTCTATGCAGGATGAAGTTACAGATTTTATTTATAATTGTATTTAATTCATAGTAAAATGCTACACTTTTTTTTTTGCATTTATGTATATGTACGGAATAATGTACAGCCATGATCGCAAAATTATTGTTATCAGGACGGGTGACAAAAAGCTAAAGGCTTTTATTTTGCAATAATGACGTGCCGACTGTGCATTATACAGCTTTTTACACAGCTACTTAAAAAAAAAATGTGGAACATTAATTTCAGTTGAAACGACTTGAAATGTTTTCATAGTACATGACTATTTACAATCAAGTATTCCAGTGTGCTGTGTAATAATAATTATACATAAATGCAAATAAATAGCATCAGTTGGCTTTACAGATAAGCGCAAGGGTCGTTTCTAAATCATACTGGTTTTGTCCAGAGTCATTATAATGTCAATAGCCAGCAGTTTCCTGTAGTCTGTTTTTAATAAGATAAGAGAAAGGCTCATGGGACACAGACTAGCCTAGTGATGTCATCTGGAAAAAATGTAAAAACAGGAGGACTGCAGGCTTCATGTAGCTTTAGTAAGAAACTGTCTGCCAGGACAATTTAAGAATCAGGCACTTTAAAATTGTGCATATATGACTTTCGAATCTAAAAAAAAAAACGAAACAAAAAGGCCCACTGGTGCTTATCCTATTAAATACAGACTGCCGATGCTGTTCCAATTAATGTCACTGGACAAATTGAGCAGTGCAGTTTCCTATTAACATCTGTCTCCAGAACATCAGGTTTCATTCAGCTCATGAATCAAGTGACTTGCTCTACAGGAACGATCCTATACTACAGGAACAGTGTTGTTGGGTGGATTTACCTTGCAAATATCCTAGATTTACTCGGTTCATCACATCACTTGCGGTTAAATTAGCTACGTCCTCTACAGTGTGCAGGGAAAAGGCCCAAAGTAGAAAGAGATAAGAAAGAAAAGGTCAAGCAAGCAGCTCAGAAAGCAGCACTTTGTAAAGAGAAAGATCAAGAAAAAATCATCATGCAAAAAACACATTCTCAAAATATCATTCAGCACTTTATACTATTATGGTTTATGTTAGTTATAGGACTAGTTATAGGACTATAAAATGTCATTACTAACAGAACCCTATGGTTTACATCTCATTTTTAAAGATGAAGTGTGTAATTTCAGTGTAAAGTGGGAAAAGAAGTAGTTATATAATAACTATAATATAATTAACTATTATACAATAAATAAAATATATATATACACACATTTTTTATGTAAACGCAAACTTATGTTAGATGCGATTAATCAATCTGACAGCACTAGTTTTAACATTAAAAAATTACACACTTCGCCTTCAGTTTTCAACAGTATTTCTCAGAGTTAGTGAAAATCAGAGAATGATTTTTTGCAACATGGAGGATGGGAAAGTGAGTAGTGAGAAGTTTCTAGAAAGGTGAATATAGAATAAAAGACCAGGCAGGACATACAAAACAGAAGTTGTCGATGGTTAGCTCTGGCCATTCAAACGACCACCTATCCTTCAACAATAAATCATATTCATCATGACGCTATACAACCCACCTGCTATAATATGGGAACATCTATGATATACAGTGAGGAATATTTTTTTTAATAAATTATTAAATAAAAGTACAGATGGTCAGATGTTCTTGCTTTCATTGAAGCTCAAGACATTTCATAGATCATGTCAAAACATGCTGGAGAACATGATCATTAGGTTTGAATCAAACGTGTGGACTTCATGCGGAAATTCAGATAATCATTAAAAAAATGAATTGTGCTCAAAGTGATATGTCGATTACATAAAAGGAATATTTTCACTAGTGGTTTGAGACCATTGGACTCAACTGTAGTATAATTAAAAATATTCCCTTCTGCAATGATTAATAATAAAGGCATGTAAACTCTATTTCACTCCTCTTTCTGTTTGTAGTTCTCCTGTGATCCCTGATAAAGGATGTTTCATAAGAATAATGATTGATGCAGGGGACACAAGGGGACACCATTAAATGATTTACAAAGAGAAACACTGTGAAAACAGTTCTCCACCATAGTACATTTATAATGACACAATGTATCAAAAAGACATCAATGCAAGGGGTTCTACACCCTCAGTATTTTAGTAGGCACAAATGGAAATACTCACTTCCCCTTGTCAAACTCACCGTATCCCACAGTGGGCAGCCCTAAGTGCTTCATGCGGTTCTTCACCAGCTCTGACAGCTCCTGTCTCTCGGAGCGCCGGTACAGGTTCAGGCGCTGTTGATTGATGCGTTCGGCTCGACTGGGTGGTTTAGTGTTTTTCCTGCTCAGCCGTCTCGCCCACTGCATGCTCTTCTTCCGCAGGAGTGGGTGCTCTGATTGGTCGCTCCCTGTGGAGTTTCTGTGGGCGGTTTTCTCTTTCCAGGATTCCCTGCGATCCCGCGGGTCCTCACAGTCCTCCACAGACACCTGAGACTGGTCAGCATGGCAACAGGTTGTCAATAGGTTAACAGTGTTTAAAGTGGTGGGCTGACGTTTTCATTGTCTGAGGGCTGAATCATTACGTTGTACTTTTTTGTATCAGTTTATTAGCAGCTGAACCACTTTACTCTGTAAAGGTGCACTAAGTAATTACATATATTTTAGCTGTCTCTAATTCAACATTTTTTCTTTTGTCAAATCAACTTAGATAATTAATCTGATTCAGATAACATAATATTTTGAGTTTCTCTTGACTTAACAAATCTCCTTGTATTAACTGATTTTTTTAATTTCAACGAATTCAAAATTGTAAGGCAACCAGTTAACTTATTTTTTAAGTTAAACCAACAATATATTTTTTACAGTGTGATATGAGACTTTTAAGGTACAGTCCTGTTAAAAATATTGGTGTCAGTAAGATATATATTTTTTATTAATACTTGTATACAGCAAGGATGCATTAAATTGATCAGTGATAACGGTCACGACATTTACATTGTTACAAAATATTTCTATTTCAAATAAATGCTGTTCTTTATATTCGTTTGAACTTTATATTCCTCAAAAAATCCAGAAAAAAAGTATCCTGGTTTCCACCAAAAATATTAAAGGGATAGTTCACTTTAAAATTATTTTTTGGTATGTTTTAGCTTACCTCAAGCACATCCAAGATGTAGGTGTCTTTGTTTCCGCAGTAGTTTCAATTTTGATATTTTTAGGTCAAACCGTTCTTGTCTGCCAGTCATATAATGCAGGTCTATGGTCACCACCTCAAAGAGCATGCACAGAGAAGTCCAAATTAAACATGATTTAATGACTCGTAAATGTAAGTACACATTGATGGCCTAAGACACGAAACGAGCGGTTTGTGTGAGAAAACGAACAGTATTTATATCGTTTTTACCTCTTGTAGCCACGTCCAAGTGATCTGAGGGCGCGGGCGCTTCGGTCTGCGTATGCGCCGGAAGTGATCTCTCGCGCGTGTACGTCACTCATTGTTTACACAGAGATTTCGGAAGTGTTACCTTTCACTGTGAAGATCTAAACATATTTAGATATACAGGAAATCGCAATGGAAGACGATTTCGATATATCAACAAGACAACGTTGAATTTTTTTCGTACACGCCCTCAGATCACTTGGACGTGGCTGTGTTTACAAGAGGTAAAAACGATATAAATACTGTTCGTTTTCTCACACAAACCGCTCGTTTCATATCTTAGGCCATCAATGTGTACTTACATTTACGAGTCATTAAATCATGTTTAATTTGGACTTCTCTGTGCATGCTCTTTGAGGTGGTGACCATAGACCTGCATTATATGACTGGCAGACAAGAACGGTTTGACCTAAAAATATCAAAATTGAAACTACTGCGGAAACAAAGACACCTACATCTTGGATGCCCTTGAGGTAAGCGAAAACATACCAAAAATTTATTTCAAAGTGAACTATCCCTTTAAGCAGCACAATTGATAATAATAATGGTGCTGCTTAATAAATTATTAATTCAATAATTTGTGAAAGTTAATTCACTTCAAGTTATAATCGCAATGCTGATAATTATTTACCAAATTGCAGCCTTGGTGAGGATAAGAGACTTGCATAAAACATAAACAAATCTTACTGACCCCAAACTTGTAGTGAAAGTCAATCTGACGTTTTAGAATAAAAATAGCTTAGAAAAAAAATAGAAAAAGTACAAATTTTCCAGATAATAATAATATTTTCTATTAATAATAATTTTAATTATTTGATTTGACTTCAGTGCAGTTATAATGAAGAAAAAAACACAATTATTTAATTATGGAAACAACATTATAATGTTGCTTTTTTTAGTTAAGAAAACTACTTAATGCACCTTTAAATAACCCCACTCACGTTACTAAATGTATATTTTTTGTATAGATTACCAGTAACATATAAAGAGTAAATGACACAGGACAGACAATGAGCCATTGAAACATAATTCCATTAACATATGAGAATGTGGTTGAGAAATGGCATGAAGTCTGCATTCTTACCTCTTTACAAACCTCCTTATACTTGAAAAAGCAATAGTTGTGAATGATCAAAATGAGAAATGATTAGCACAAGGATTTCACAAGCTTCAAGTCACAACACAGTTAATAAGGCAGCCAGCAAAGCCATGATTTAGCCCAAAATAAAGCTGTAAATCTTCAACACTGCACAAGATCAAGTAAAGGCACAGAGACAGATCGTATCTGCTGTGCAAGCGTCTGGAGCTGCATGGACCGTGTAAAGGGTATTTATCCGTGTCTGAATGCTCTGATCTCTTCCTCTTAATCTCATCTTACCTCCGAGGAAGAGAACATGTGAGATTCAGTGCGGTATATCCCAATGGGGATTTCTGCACTAGATGAACACAGCTTCTGGAATAGTCTTCCATATGTCCGGATCCATAAGTCCTCTTCCGATACCTTCATCTGTTTCAAAAGTGAAGCTCATTAACATGCATGTCAAATTTTACTAAACTAAGCTAAATAATATATATATATATATATATATATATATATATATATATATATATATATTATGTTATTATTTTATATTATATATATTATTATCAGCTTATAGTATATATATATATATATATATATATATATATATATATTGTATAAGCTGATTTTGGGCTGAAATCTAACATTTCGTGGGAGTTTTAATGAGAGTCGTCCATCACGTCACATACTAATCTGCCTTTAAACCTTGTGATGTTATTTTTACACCGTCTGTTTCAATTCAACACTCCTGTCAGCGCCAACAGATTTGTGGGTGGGCAAGTTCAAATAACCAGCTTTGTGCATTTTAACTCAAACAATGACTTTGCATAATACATCACGCACTGATGCTAGACGAACTGGCTTGCTGAGGGTGTGTGGGTGCGTTTTTTTGTTTGCGCTTACACTTACAGCACACAGGTAGCCAGAGCCCGGGGTGGTGTCTAGACCCAGCAGAAGTCTTGCAATGAGAATCATGTAGTCCTTCACAAAAGACTAGAAGATAAACAGAAACGATATATAAACACATAAACAGTCCCCAGAAAGCACACAGATGATCTCCAGACCTCACACAATCAATAAAGGCTCTTTAGAGACACAATGCCTGAGGGGAGCAAAACCTACTGCAAATGCCACTCAATGTTCTCTGCTTCTATCTGCCTCACAGAAAGGTATCAGCCTTCATGAGTATCAAATGTGCAGAGATACAAAAATAAACTGCAATAAACTGATGTACACTCATCGGCTGCTAGAGAATACTCTTAAAGCACTGTGAGGGTCGTGCTGAATGAATTCCCGCGTCTCACCAGAAGATGGCGCCCTCAGTTGAATCATCTATCCATCGATTTTCCAAACTGCCGTGTCAACATCTTAATACCATAACGGTATAAATTCCTTTTTGATTGATTATTCAATTGTTTAATAAGGTTTAAACATGCTTATTACCAAGACAGAGTTCAATATAAATCTTTTCATTACTACTGAGCCGCCAGTTTATTTTCAAATGATTATTAAACAGCAACAAACTGTGAAAGGCGGCAGCCCTTGCAGCGCATTCAGTGTCCGAATTCAGTCACTCCTTCAAGTGAACTATATTAGTGGAGTAATGTAGGGAATAGTTAATGAGGGTATAGGGGGGCGATTTCTAACACAGCTTATGACTGACTGCTCATCAAGTTATGTTTCGTACATAACTGTTTTCTGTGCCTCTATGGTCAAAACATGCATATAGTACCAAATTAATGAATGTATATACTTTTCTATGATGCTTACATTGCAAAGCTATTAAAATAATCATGATCGATATACAGAGTCATGTACTCATTACTAATACTTTTACATTTTACTTCATACATTTTAATGTGGGAGGGGCAATGAAACATTCAGCTGAACTTGAGTTTATTAACTTTTTATATTTATAATATATATACACACACACACACACACACACTAGAGTTCAAAAGGGTAGAATGGTTTTGAAATATGAGGCTTATGCACACCATGGTTGCATATATTTGAGCAAAAATACAGTAGGCTAATAAACAGTAATATTGTGAAATATTTAAAATAACTATTTAAAAATATTTTGAAATGTAATTTTTTCCTGGAAAACTACAGAGTGTCACATGATCCTTCAGATATCATTCTGATATGCTGATTTGGTGTTGAAGGAACATTTATTCTTATATCAATGTTGAAAACAGTTGTGCTGCTGAATATTTTTGAGGAAACTGTGACCGATTTTTTTCAAGATTATTTGATGCATAGAAAGTTCAAAAGAACAGAATTAATTTGAAATGGAAATATTTTATAACTTTATAAATGTCTTTACAGGCACTTTTGATCGATTTGATGTGTCCTTGCCGAATAAAAGCATTAATTTTTTCTTACTGACCCCACACTTTTGAATAGTAATGTATTATTAGAATGTATTTTGTACAGAATTAGCAGAATTTGCATCTGATCTATTACTCACCTGGTAAAGTAGAGTGTCCAGCATACTAATACTGAACACTCTGCCTGCAGCGAATGGGAGGCGGAACATGAATGCCAGATTAGAGCCTTTATCTCTCTCGATCTGGAGAAAGGGGAAAAACATCACAACAAAAGATTGATGGAACTTTCCACCACTGATGATCTCAGATTTTGACACCATCTGGAAATCTGTGACGCAGTATTATATTATTTTCAGTATTTTCAGCCTTTTGAAGCATGCGATCACCACAAATAAATCATACTTAATAATCACTTGACAGATTCCTAATGGAACATGTCATAATAAATTCGTAGAATTCAAGCAAAGTTATTTTGTATCATAGAAAAGTTTGAAATTATATTATGCTAATGTTAGGTCTGGTTAGAGTAGTTAAATTGTCTACTGGCAAGGAAGAAAAATTATAAATTCTTAGTCCAAACATCTGAGATCACTTTGAAAATATGGGACTCAAAATGTAATTTAAATCTGAAAATAAAAATAATTTAGATTATTTCTGCACTATTTCTATTTCATTTGAGGTTTTACACAAACTCATGAAGCTCATGCAGCTCGAATTTAATCATCCTGAAATTCATATTAACTTTGCAATTCAACTTTTCACTCAAACTATAATTGATATTATAATTTGCAATAATTACAATAAATAAATCAAAAAGCACGTCTCAGATGTTTGGACCCCAATAAAAAGTCAAATGGCGTGGCTGTTAAGATATGAGACCTTTTCAAGTTTGGAGAGAGCCAGGGAGTAGCAGTCTTTGGCACGAAACTGCATGAATCTCATATTAGAAGGATGGGTTAGCTCAGTGATTATGCTGAGACTAGGAAACAACCTAGTAGAGGACACAATAACGGCAGAACAAAGACAAAAATGACGTTTAGCGGGGAAAAGGAATTAGTACCCAATGCCATCATGTTTCCAGCTGATGCTGAAAAAGACATCAGCTTAAAGAAAAACAAATAACAACCAATTTGCTAAAGTTATTAATGTTCGTTCGTACCTGAACATGGTCTGCACATTGACTATGGTTTTAGCATCTGCCATGTAGTCTTCCTCTGCACTCATAGTGCTCTCCTTGTCCACCACCACCAGGTTATCAGCGTAGATGATGCCACACTGCAGTAAGTTATCCAAACTACGACAGAAACCAGCACAAACCCACCATTCAGACTGGACTAAAGCCCATTTCAGGATGTGCATGTTTACTGAAATGTTTAAAGACCTACTTGTCTATGGTTCCAGCCATGTAGTACACCATAGGGAAACAGCAGATGGCCTCAAGAAAATGATTATCGGGCCTGGAAATGGAGAGGAAGAGCAGTTTAACAATGCTAATCCACTCACAGCTGCAGTTTTAAAGTTCTTAAAGGTTTGGCACTGGCAAACAACCTTATAAAAATGTATTAACGGAGTAAAAGCTTGTGCAAAATGTATAAACAGGTAATTGCAAAAAGGATTTTGACACATCTCCGAAGTTGCCATGGAAACTCTGAGGAAGAATCTACAATGTGACGACAATTGTGTACACAATTTTGCATTACTGAAAGGAAGAATGTGCGGAGCATAATGAACATGCCTCTGAAAGTGTATAGCATTGGAGAGGAAGATAATACATTAAGATGGACAGTAAACTGCAAATTGCTATCATTTCAATATAATGCACTTTAGAACGTGATAGGTCGATAAAGAAATATGTTTTTATGCAGATATGCCTGGAAGTATTTTCAAGTGGTAAAGTCGGGGTTAAGTAATGCTTCTGCCTGACTATCGAAGTACAGTAACAGGAACATGCGGTGGGAAAAGTGATGAGGCAGCTCGCTCACGGGTTATCCAACAGCAACACAATGGGATTCAGCTCCTTCCGGGGTCGGTAATAGGCACGCAGCGGCACTATGAAGTTGTACAAGCCGTTTCCTGCTGTCTCAGCCGAAACGATAATCAACTTGTTCTTGAAACCATACGCCTTGGCATCTTCAAAACTATTGTGCCGACAACCCTGAATCAAACACAATTAAATAAATGATGGACTGGAATAAATGACGATAAGAGGGATCAGATTTAAATGCATTGAGGGATTTTAGGCAGGCCAAATTAAATGAACATATAATGGCATTGATAGGTTTAAATATTAATATTTAAACATAGAATATTGTTACACACTATCATGTTGCTATAAATAAATAAAAGTACAATGAAATGAAAGCATTAATAAATAAACAAGCCATGAAATACGATTATTTTTTTTTTTATATCAAATGAAAAAGTGAAATACCATATGAAATATGTCTAGAAATAAAATGAATTATGACCTGAAATACCTTAAACAGAATGTGAAGTAAAGAAAATAAATATAATATGGAGCTGAATGCATCACGAAATGTTGCAATCAATAAATATAACCAGAATGAAAAGGGAGTAAACATAAATAAATAGTATGTGAAATGTATTTATGTAAAATGAAAAGAGACCTTTAATTATTTTATTTAGACTGTTAAATCCCTCCATATAAATGCATTAGCACAACTACACATACACACAACAATTAAACTACCCCATACCAATGAATTAAACTGAATCGGAATATCAGTGTTTCAGGGTGAATTAAGATTTATACTCTCACCTTGTCAAGTCGTAAACAACAAAATGGCGCCTTTTGTTGCAGAAGGTGGCAAAGAGTTGGGGAGCTTCCAATGTAAGGGGAGTTTGGAGGGTAGCCTTTAACACACCTTGAAAAAGTAGAAGGATATAAAATGTCAAAGGTCTGAGTGTGAATTAGAACGAATTCTTCTGTTTAAAAATGCACAGAATATACAGTAAATGAACCCCTGACTGACATCAATCAATCTCCAAAGGCTTTATTTTTGAAAGCATGGCATGTAAATGATCAGTAGAGGGCACTGTGAGTGCACTGAACATTCAGCGGGGATCTTCACCGACTCTTACAAAATGTAAAAATGCAGAAAGTTTTCTATGAGGGATGTGTTTAGGAGTAGGGTTAGAGTCAGTGGAGAGAGAGAGAGGAGAGGAGAGTGCACATGTCTCCTCCGGCTCTGACTGACATAAGCAAACGCTGTAATTATTCTGCAGCATGACCGCTGAAAGGCTGTTAGCAACTAATATGTTTAAAGTTCATCTGATCTTCCTGAAAGCTATTAAATGTAATTCAACATTCGCACTGGCGAAAGAGTACAGTAAGGAAAATAACTAGAAGTAATTGGGATCAGTAAGAAATTTTTTTTTTTCAATTAATAGTTTTATTCAATAAAGATGCATTAAATTGATCACAAATAGTAGTAACGAGATTTCTAAAATTACAAAGATTTCTACTTCAAATAAATGCTGTTCTTTTTAACTTTCTATTCATCAAAGAATCCAAAAAAAAAAAAAAATGTATCACGGTTTCTACAAAAATATTAGGCAGCACAACTGTTTATCAGCATTGATAATAATTAGAAATATTTTTGAGCAGCGAATCAGCATATTCAAATGATTTCTGCATAATAAAGTAATGATGCTGATAATTCAGCTTTGCCATCACAGGAATAAATTACATTTGAAAATATATCAAAATAGCAAACAGTTCATTTCACAATATTGCTGTTTTACTTTATTTTTGATCAAATAAATGCAGCCTTCTTTTAAAAACCTTTCAAAATCTTTTTAAACTTTTATACGGAAGGGTATAGGATTTGATTGGCCCCTTTATCATCCAATGGCCATTTTATTAGCCATTTTGTTTTGAAAAAGTAATGTTTAGTAAAGGAAAAGCACAGCTCTACACATCAAGCCTCATGATTTAAGGCTCATTTCTTTGACATTTGCTGGCTGTTTAAAAAGTCAAAGACAAACGACTCTATTGCTGTTCCCCTTAAAAACCTTATTCATTTTGTACTTTTGTCAACATTATTTACTCTATGGCCGGTGCTCCTTCCTCATCGGACTGGTTGGTCTCATCTTCAGAGGGGTCACTGAGAAGATCACAAGGCAGGATGGCAGAGGAATCTGCAATCTCCAGCACAGGGGCAATGCTGGGTCTCCGACTCCCAGCTCCGTTCTCCGTGGGCAGAGCCAGTTTACTGCTGTCAGCCGGTGGATCTGGATTCTGCAGGTCAATGGCCACAGTTCCTGCAATACAACACAAATCAGCCATGAGAGTGGAGGTTTTCCTTCTCAGCTTGCAGCATGGAAGATGCAGCATGAGGAAATTCATATAGATGTGTTTACCCGGTGAAACCAAACATCTCAAATCTGTTGTCTGATCTGATATCTCAGCTGCTTTTGTGCAAATTTGAGTGCAATGAAAACTGCCAAAGAAATATCATCAATTTTAGCCAACGTGACTCAGAATTTAGGTCAATTCCAGTTCATTTCCACCAGCGCTTGAATAAAAACTGAAAGATTTGACTAAATTACTAGAACAATTGGCCTACATGTAGAGTAGATGATATGAATGTTTAATTATAGCATTTCTCAAAAGCACTGAAGTTGACCTCAACCCTGATTTATTGCTTTTTATGAATAAACACTGATTTGCACATTTCAAATCAGTGCTTTGCAACCAAAATCTTTAAGCACAGTGAGGTTTAATTTAAAAATGGTGAAGGGAAGAAAATGTTCTGAAGGGAAATTCTGCTGTTATGTAGAAGAATGTTCTGCTGCAAAATGTTAAGTGTAGAAAGAAAAAAAAAACCTGTGAAGAAACATAATTGACTAAATGCTAATTATGTTAGAGAGTAGTCCAGGGATATTTTACACATGCAAGTGCAGTTACAAAGCCCAATTAGAAAAACAAATCTTCATTAAAACAGCTTGCAGGACAAAAGACTTGACCTGTGAATTCCTAACGGGAATGAACGGGAGAGAAAGGTTTCTGTAAATGTTAACATTTACACAGACATCCACCAATGATGTCTTATGATTTAACTGGGATTTAACTAATGCTATGAAAACCACATGCTCAGACTTACCATATGAAGCAGACTGATCAACTTCAACAAAGGAAAAAACAATAAAAGAAAGTATATTTTATCATGAGCATGAGCATATTTTGATATATTCACCCTGCTACTGCTGTTTCTGAGTGCTACTTTCAAACCACTAACCGGCATATGTTAACCATATGGAAATCGCATTAAACCAACCCTGAGGCTGCACTGATGTAAACCAATTAAAACTTGTGCTTCATTTGTTTCGGATGTTATGTAACAATAACAACAACACCATTAATGTTTAAATCAGTCGTGCTAGTGGCGCAGAAATTACAGACTAATTCCACCCTTAGTTTGATTATTAAAAGGTCAAAGGCTTCTGTTAGTGACATGACGTTCAGGTGTGTTCCCTCACCCATGCTTGCGATGATGCTTTGCACCGGGAGACGAGAGGGAGCGTCATACACGCCGGTGGCCGACAGCCCTTTGCTGTGCTTCTCCTCCTGTTTGAAGATGAACGCAGAGTTCTCCTCCTTAGTGATGTTGATGTAGTAGCAGGTATCTGTGGCGGACATGATGTGGCGAGGGCCGGGGTTCAGAAGTATGCTCTTATTCTCTTCTCTCTTTGTGCCAATTAGGCAGACACCGTACCTAAGGAAAAGACGATTGTGTGTGTTTAACACGGAGTTTAAGAGGGAAAAGCACAGTTGTAACTCATCTTTATTTGGGAGGATCTACATCCTGTTCCTGCTTTTTTTTATTATATAACATTCAAGTTTATTGTCAAAAATCCAACAGTGAGCCTCATCTTCTATAAAGCATCTAAAAAGAAGTGCATATATGTAGTAATATATCATGTGAATAAAAGTACTACGATACAAATGGCAAATGAAGTATACACATGGTAGTAAAGTGCAGTTGAGCATTATAGTGCAAATGAGATTAGTACAGTATGAGACTGACTGAGCAACAAAGTGCAAATTACATGATATGCACACTAACGTATATATCATGTAAGATTGCATATATCAAGATTTTTATTTCGAGAAATTAATACTTTTATTCAGCAAGGAACGCTAAATTGATCAAAAGCGACAGTAAACACTTTTATGTTGCTACAAAAGATTTCCATTTCAAAAATATGCTGTTCTTTTGAACTTTCTAATAATAATAATAATGTTTTTTGAGCAGTAAATCAGCATATTAGAATGATTTCTTAAGGATCATGTGACACTGAAGACTGGAGTAATGATGCTGAAAATTCTGCTTTGCATCACAGGAATTATTAACATTTGAAAATATATTGAACATTTATTTTAAATTGTAATAATATTTCACAAAAGTATTGTTATTACTGTACACTGTAATTTTTGTTTTTTAACTTACTACCAGAAGTTGAGAGAACTTTTTTAATTCTGTCAGTTTATATACATCGGACAAATCAATTGGATAAATACAGTAAATTAAGTTTAGTTTACTAAAAGATTTTTACAGTGTATTTATATATATATTTTTTTTTCAAAGCAATTTACATTTTATTCATACATTTATACATATCACTTCATGTCAAAGGTGAAAAAAAAACAATGTTCATTTTTCTTACAGTGTATTTTTTATCAAATAATTGCAGCCCTGCATATGAGACTTCTTCAAAAATATACAAAATATTGAATGGTGGTGTAAGTAGGGATTGTGATAAAAAAATATGCATGAATACAATTCAAAAAGGTGTAAAATGCAAACAGTGGTGTGCAAAACAGGGGAACAGGAAAATGTGAAAAATTCAAGCATGCTCAATCAATTGATTGATGAGTTTTTAAAGCACATTTATCAAGAGGCACAAAAAATGTGTCATATTTTTCTGAGGGTTTATAAAATAATAATTTCACATACATCCGAATAGTGAATCGTGCATCTAAATAAATGTTAAATGCTCAACAATCACTCACTTTTTATGTGCATGGAAGGAGGCGTAAGTGAAACTCTTCCCGTCATATTCGCCAAAGAACTTGCTGTCCATCAAACGGATGTGGTAAACTTCATTCCCCGAGCAACGGCCATACGTCCTCTGCCACTGTTCTGGAGAAGTCTGTCCCTCCCTGAAACCCCAAACAGACTAAAATGCAAGCGCTAAGACAACACTCCAAAAAACAGTAGGAAACTATTGTGGGATCATTTGAGTTTTCTTTATGAAATGGTTCACCCAACAAGTTCAGGTGACCGCATTCAATCTCCCTCTGACAAATGATCACATAAAGTTTAATGCCATTGATCGGCTCCCCTGGCAAATCTGCTCTGACTAATTATTTGTGGCACTATTATTTGTTAGGGATCACGGAATTGGAAAGGTTAAGCGAGGAGCCATTATTCATTAGTAAATCCTTCAATAAACTAAACAGCATTTCAGGAAACACTTCTCGTACATCAGCCGTCAAATGAAAGAGGAAAGACATCAGTACTCACTGTCCACGAGACGTGTGCACCAGCAGTGTGACCAGTGTAGAGGTGGCTGGACACACACAGTTGAGGGCCAGCATGGCATACTTGAACTCCTCTTCACACACCACATGATCTAGAAAACAAAACATACCTACACATAATCTATGTGAGAATAATATAATTTATATAATATAATATAATTTATATAATATAATATAATATAATATAATATAATATAATATAATATAATATAATATAATATAATATAATATAATATAATATAATATAATATAATATAATATAATATAATATAATATAACCCTGATTGATATGACGGCAAAGTGTATGTATATATATATATATATATATACACACACACACACACACACACAGTATATATGTTGTTAAATTCAGTCTCACTTTCAATATTACATAATGATGATCAGGTTGAAACACTTGATGGTCTCCCAAAAAATAAATGAATAAAAAAAAAAAACCTCTATTATTAAAAAATAATAAAGCTCCAAGCACAGATGGACTTCCTACTTAATTCTATATACACTTCTATCAGAAACATTATGAAATTAAAAACACCTCAGTTCCACCACACTTGTGAACTGCCCTAATCTCAGAACTAAAGCTGTAAAAAAGAAAAGAAAAAGAAATTCCAACTTTGCCCATATCCCGTATCACTGATCAACATGGCATCAACATCACCAGAACAGCATTAACACCCAGACTTGAATCTTATTTACTCAGATCAAATTGGTTTCATTACTGGCAGACACTCTTCAAATGAGAGACATTATCCTTTTAATGTAATGCATATATCTAGGAAAACAAATAATTTTCAATCCAGAAAAAGCGATTGACAGAGCTAACTGGACTTTTTTTTAAGTGACGCTAAGAATATATAAAACCCTAACCATCATTACCATCATAACACTGTTTTCAGATCCCAAAAAGATCCTTTAAAAGCATATTCTTACATTTACTAAATACTGATCTTAATATCACAACCAGTACCAACTTCTGACTAATTTGTCAAGACTGTTTTCATCTAAAACAAAAATACTGTATGGTTAAAACGTATTTTTTCTCCATTATTTACCTTTCTTAGGGTGTTTGAATTAACACGTGGTTATAGCACACAAAGAGGCATATTAATCCCCCTAACACTTCATCTCTTCTTCTGCTAAATTAACATATGTAAATGCAAATTCAGTGACCCGAGAGGTGGAGGCAGTGCTACACTTACAAAGTGAATACTCATAACCATGAAAGACTTCAATGAGGATGTATGACTTGGGAGGCGGAGAGTGTACAATCCAGAAAGATATTATTTATACAGAAAACACAGACAAGCTACAACCATATATACCACAATAATTGCTAACAGATGGCTGATACACATACGCCCATCCATGTCTAATCGTCAGGACAGTTTTTACATTTCACACTTTTATTGACGTATTTTGTGTTAATAAATCAAAATACATTTAAATGTTTGAAAAAATAGTTGCTTTTTCAGTAAAAAAGTAAAATGGACTATATAAAATGAAAATAAATTTAAAGGACATATTGGTCACAAAACATGACTATGAAAAAAGATCCGAATTAGATTTGTGAAGGACGGATGAATGCTTGCTAAACTGCATATGAAATGATTTGACCTCAGGAAGGCAAAAGACTCACCTGCAAATTTGACATGGAATTTGTTCTCAGGTTTAAGAATCTGGACATATAGAGGACAGTTTGGAGCAAAGTCCTTCACAGCCCAGGCTCGCAGAATGGTTTGATGATCCTATAAGAACAGACAGCATTCTTATATGATGATGTGCAAACTTACATTATTTCATTTTACCATTAATAGTAGATTAAGTTCAGGAAAATGAATTGATGTATTTGTATATATATGAAGAGAAACAATAAAAACACCATAGATAGGCAGACTAAAATTCATGCAATAAGTGTCATAATGGGTAAGCCTACAATGTGATAAAACTAAAATAAAACTCGAACTTTGAAAGATGAAAACAGTACAATTTTAATAAAGTATGAATAACATTAGCATATGGGCTTCAGGTTTCTCTCTCTTTAAGATTACTTGGATTCCATTTAAGATTTCAAGTTTCTATTATGGTTCATTTAAAAAGTGAATACTGTTTTGATCAAAATAATTGGGTTTCTTGTCTTGTGCCTGGGAAAATTTATCAACAATAAAATTTAACAACAATAAGTTGTTATTGACTTTTGGCAAGGAACTGTATAAAAAGTCTGTATTTACGGCTGCGGTGCGGTCCACTTCATTTCTGCTGCTGAGGATGAAGCACGCCTCTGCATCGTCCATCCTGCAGAACACACAACATCATGACACATCAGTGTCACTCAGAAAGGACACTTCACTATGCTATCTTCTATCTATACTACCCATAAAGTGAATTCCTCAAGAAGGACTGCACATATATGTATGTATGAATGTGCTGGTGATAGGTAATTATTGCCATGTTACTCACAGTCAGTACTGAGACTGAGGGTCAATTTCACGGTATACTAGTCTCACTATAGCAGTTAGTTCTTTCTCATTGACAAAGGTGTCATTAACATTCTGCCGGTTTTCCCACTCCTAATGTTTTCTGGACGTGTTTAAGGTTCCAAGTAAACATAATTTGTGACATACTGTCAATAGCCATAGTAAATCTTTTAGCCCTTAGTTTGTAAAAACAAGCAAATATTGTGTGTAATGCTCTGACTGTGTTGTACGCCATTGCAATAGGACATATGTAATAAAATACTGTATAAGAACAGCCACAAGATACTGCTAAATTCAGCATCACAAACACTATCTATCCGTGACTGTGTAAACAGTTCAGACCACTTATATTTGTAAATCCACATTGTGAATTAACAGACTCACAAATTACTTAAAATGCTAATGTGCAATTTACAATGCAAATGTAACAGCTCTGCATTTATTGGTGCATCAAATTACAGTTATAAAAAAGACCTGTGTGTGTTTTGTGGAATGTAAAGCAAATAAAACTGTGATGAGAATAATCTCTCTGGAGCTGCAGGGAAATTATATAATGACAACAGTGATTGTGAAGCAGCAGACAGGAAAATTATAAATCCATGTCCTGATTTTAAGAGCCCTCCAAACAATAACCAGGCATAGGAAAAATCTACTATGCTACAATAAAATATTAGAGATGTACACCATGTGTAGATATATAATCAGTTTTACAAATAGTATAGTATTTATGGTAGTTTTGAATTGTCATCAAAGCAGAATTTTCTTTTTGGGAAGCAGCTGGTGTAGTTAAAGTTTAGCAGTAGGGGCAAACTGCAATACAGTTCTAAGCAGCAAAGCCATAACTCCTTGGTGACAACTGACCTGTGCTGAAACGGCAAGTTTCATGGCACTTTAATACAAGTGCTTTAAAAATATGAGCTGCAGTGCACATTTCTGCTTATAAACCCTTGAGAATGCTTGATCGTATAGACTTCAATTGAGTGAATTACTGCTAGAAAACAAATCGACATTGACATGTGGACAAGTCACAGATGCTTTCGATAGAGCTGGTTTAAAACACAAAACATTTAAAGGTGAAAGACATACTGTACTGTGAGGAATTCCTATTGGCAAAAGAATTTAAAGCACTCACGACATGCATAATTCATCCAGCAATATGCAGCAGCAACGAACACATTTTGAAAATTAGAAAGCCTTTTTTTTCTGCATAGAGACTTTTAACAAAAAAAAAAGACAATCTCCTCACGAAGTCCTTTAATTTCCAACCTTCCAATTACAACACAGAGATTACACAACCGGCCAGGAAACTTTAGACAGCCTGAGTTTTATGAGAAATTCATGCACTGGAATATGAAGTAGGCATATTGAGACAGATTTGCTGCATTTATAATGAAGGAATATGGTAGATTTTAAATGCAGTTACATTGCAAGAAAAAGCACATATATTATCCTTAAATTTCAAGGCTGCTTTAATAAGGAACAGATGGGCTTGAGACTGGTGTCAGATTTGGCTCTGATGGTGGAGCTTGCAGGTTTACTCTTCAGTTTTCCACACAGACTAATTTAGTTTTTTTGGGAGCCTGTCCAAAGCTTCCATTTGGAAACAGTTAATCAGTAGGCCTACGCTAGTTTAAATTATAGAAATGACACATTGATGCACTGTATATCACTGTTAAAATATGACATCATACTTATGACTCAAGTTTACTAACAGCTCTTTCACTCTTAGACTCTGAAAAGCCGGAAACACAAGTTGTCTTTCACTGAGAATAATGAGATTTTGCTAATTTAATTAGCTAAACTGCTTAGCACGCCATTAGGCCAAACCTTAACGGTGAAGCATTGCTGTGCACTTTATAGTGAGACATAAATCCGTCTGCCACAATTGCTGTTTTAAATACCATTCTTGCAAGTTGTACTATTGATGTCTACATTTGATAGGCAACGGGGCTGCAAGTAATCTTGTTCAATATAAAACTGTTCAATTAAAGAACTGCACACCATATCTTCTTCTGTCCTTAAATATATACAACTCTTAACATACTGATGAATCGCTGACAGGCAACACGAGAAATTAAGGTCTCTGACACTATTACTTCGGAGGTAAATTCTCAAATGTTCTCAGTAATTTAGTCATAGTATTATGTATTAATCTATTTAAAAAGGACTTGAAAGGATGAAATCACTTGCAGCTATACAGATCAATTTGCAGATGTATTAGACTGATCTCTCTGTCAACGTAATGGCTCTCTCATAGACTCAGACACAGAGTCAGAACCTCAACTTTCGTCATCGGTCTCGATCCTGGCTCACTAAGTGCCATTACAATTTTTTTTTTAAATAAAAGAGAAATACAGGTTTTGTTTAATGTGAAAGAGGACATTTTTGACATTTTGTTCCACGTGGGACAAAACGCCACCTGAGTTTTGTGCAACACAAGGTTAGATATACAATCAGTTTAAATCAAATGACTTGTGGAAGAAGTGATGGGATTACATTGAATAAATTTCAATCATGACAACTCTTTGAGTAGTTTTGGCATGTTAATGAATATGGGAATGTTAATGTATTTGGTCTTGGTGGACTAGATCTGCGACCCACATTGCTGCTGCTTCAGAGCAAGTATGGACTTGCAACTGCCAATAGATACACAGGCTCGCTGATGTGAGTACAGTACGTAAGATAGGCTGCTCCAGCATAAATAGACATAAATACCATAGCAGATCTAGACAGGTGGAGCTGGGGAGGTGGAGGGTTTCAGAGTAACTCTGATAGCGTGCTGAATCAGACAATTGAAATGATGAGCAAGCAATCTCACTGGCTGCAGAATCAGCAGAGGCCAATGGGCTTGTGCCATGTGGTAAAGGTGTGATTGCTTGCAGTTTGTCAGCACCATCTAGAGTGACTCAACTAAATATTTAAACAGCTTTTTTTGACCAACAATAATTGTTCAACATCATTTTCAAAGATAATTTTTGTTTCAAAGCTGCATTTAAAATACACTGGAATTTTAAATCTGAATGGTCATGTAAATGGAAATGACACTTCTATAAAAGCCTATCCAAAATTACATTTGTTTCATTTCTTATCTCTTATATCTTCTTGGTTTAATCATTGGCAAAATGCATCCATATATAACCAAGGGACTTTTTTAGGAAAAAAATAAATGGTAACACTTTAGCATGCATATTACTAAGATATTGGCTGTTTATTAGTACTAATAAAGCACATATTAATGCCTTATTCTGCGTGACCCTATTCTACATTCCTTAATCCTACCCAATACTTAAACTAAACTACTACCTTACTAACTATTCTTAAGCAGTAATTAGGAGTTTATTGAGGCACAAGTCAATAATGAGAATTGGACCCTAAACTAAAGTGTGATCAAATGAACAACCTACTTGGCCCTCATCAGATCTTGGTCCTTCAGTGCAGAGCCTTGGAGGTAGATGACCCGTTGAGACCACAGCGGGATCTGCAGAATACGCCGCACCTGGATGTCCATCTCCGTGGGACAGAGTATCACCACATAATAATCCTAGACATTTGAGAAATGTTAATAACACCATCACACACTGAGCTAGCTTAGCATATTAGCAATACACAGACCAATAATAAACACTCACATATACGGGTTTATGCATGTACCTGTAGTCTCGGGTGGGCATAGAACTCATTGAGGAAATCCATGAGCAAGTCTATTTTGAGTGAAGTGACACAGAGAACCACATGTTTCTCTGTCTGAGCACGGTGTCTGCTGTAGTTTCCACCTGACTTCTGCCTCTCCATCCAGAGATACGCCAACTCCTCAAACTGGTGTTGAAATGAGAGACAGAAAGCAAGTACTGTGTAAATGCCGTACATTTTTACAAGAACCACTCATTTCTGCTTTAATCATCTAAAAAATTAAAAGCAAAAAGTGCTCAGCGAGGTTGGATCTCCATCCATTTAGCTGTGTAAATGTACTCATAAATAAGCAGTAATTATGAGTTTATTTAGGCAAAAGTCATAGTTAATAGAGAGAATATTAATATGGAATCTGCTGATTGTGCTGTTCGTGGCACCTGTAATGGCAGCACCACCAGAGCCACACAGATCATGATGACCACCAGTAGCTGAGAGGGCCAGATTTTGGGTGTGACGTCTCCATAACCAACAGTCGAGAAGGTGACGATGCAGAAATATAAAGAGTCGAAGAGGGTGAGACTCTTTCCTGCCCGCTCGAGATGCTGAATCCCACAAGCCCTAAAGAGCATTACAAAACAATTCAGGAAACAATTTCGAAAATCTTTATTAATTAAAATAAATTCGGCATCATGGGACTTTTATAGTTGGAAAGACATTCCATGAATAGAATTCAGTAGAGCTGCTCAGTCACGATGTCAATTTGTAAGCTTGCCCAGAAGGCCATTTCACCATGGGCTCCCTCAGGAATTTCGAATGGGTTTTTAAAATAGCGGTTTTCGATTTGTGTAAAATGAGGTCTGTGGTTAGCATTATTTCAAGAGCCTTTCCCATTTTGCTCTACAAAACAAATTGACACAGAGTCATACCTCAAAAGGGAATTTTAAAACCAATTGAATTAATAATGTAAATATGTAAGGACTATAAACGGTTTCTGATTCATCATGTAAACTCACATTCTGTGGGAGTTGTAGTCCTTAGGTAAGAACTTTATTCTGACATGTCCCTTTATATTGGTAAAAGGGTGTCAAATATATATGCAAATATATGCTAATACAGAATAAAACATAGGCTAATGAGGATAATAAAATGAGGTTAATTAAGGACCTGTAAAAGACACTTTGTTGAAAAGCAACAAAATTTGACTTCAAGTTTTAAGAGTTTCCATCATTTCCTATGCACTCAAATAGAATGTTGGAACAGTTGGGTTCCAAAATAGGCCTAACATTTACATTCTCCATAGAGAAAGTGTTTTATGTAAACATAAAAAGTATATCTTGTTCAAGACAGACGTATATACTTAAATAAAAACCATAATATATACATTTTACTGATATTTTATTTACAATGTAAAATGTAATGTTCAGTAGCTATTAATCCAGTCTTCAGTGTCACATGATCCATCAGAAATAATTCAAATATTATCAATGTTTAAAACAGTTCTGCTCCTTAATATTTTTATGGAAAATGTAATACATGTTGATTAATTTTGGGATTCTTTGGATTCTGTTTTTATATATATTTATGTATGTATACAATTATATATTTATATCATATATTTGACTATTTTGCAATAAACGATTATTTTCATATACTTCATGTGCTTGGTGACCCACATTGTATTAGAAAAGATGTTCATTTCACAGTCTTGTAGGCTACCTTTGTCTTTTTCTCAGACCTTTTGTTTAAAACAAAGTTTGTGATATTGTGATTCATCTCAGAGCTGGGTGCTTTATGGCTTACATCTCTTTACGAAGGATTCTTTGTAAATCCCTACGGAGAAAATGAATGGGAAAATACTTCCAGAACCCAGACTTCTGAAAAAGGGGAGCTGTGACTGTTGTGCTATATTAAATACTCAGTAGATTTCGTTCAATATTCCTAAAAAATTGTAGCATCTTGTTTTGACACTATTTTTTTTTTAAAAAGTTCATTTGGATTAACTGATGTACATTATTGATCAGGACGGTTAATTCATAACCGTGTGACTGTTTCAGATCTGCAGCATTAGATACAAGCCTGTAAAAGGCTGAAGCCCCATCAGGGATATCAGAGATCAAAGAGCTTTACCCAGTGAAGACCAGACAGAGCAGTGTACAGATCAGAATGAGGACCTGGTTGAACATGGCAGAGTGTGTGCGCTGAATGGCACGATGGAGATCATTCTAGAAAGTAACAGAGATAAGTGAGAGAGATCTCTTTTGTCAAGAGACTAAGCAAAGACAAGAATACAAGAATAGCACGCACACAATGCAGGCAACGTGAGCTATCTGTGAAAGCAGTTCTGAAAAACGTCTGCCTATTTAAGAGCCTGCTTTAAAAAGAAATTAATAACCCTCATTATTTTCCAGGTCTAGTGCTTCATTATAAGGTCTAGTGCTCCTCACACAATTAAATATTCTATTCCTATATTCTAATATTTCTGACCTTAATCGAGCAAAATATACAATGTGAATGCTCTTTAATAACTGTACTGCTCAGCTATATGAGATATAGGCTACATGTATGTTAAAGGTAGGGTAGGCATTTTTTGTATAAACACTTTTCGTTATACTGGTTGAAACTGTTCACATCCTGATAGCGATCAACAATAATACAATACAATAACTCATTATTATTGTACTGTTATGTGCTTTGAGACATGAGGTAATTTAACGCCATCTCTTGTGACGCTTTGCAGACTCTGCTGTGTCCGTTCATGTGTTTTGGAGGAGGTGTGGCTTTGGAGACACTCTGAAGGGAGGGTGGGATCCATTGCTTTCAAAACTAGCTTGCTATTGCTAGTCTCTCCGAGATTGCCTACCCTACCTTTAATTACAGTGCCGTGACCAAGGGATCAGGACTTAAATGGCTCCTTTATTTAGTTTGGTAATTAAAAAAAAATGTAGGGAAATTTTAGGAAAGTATGGGGGTAAAACAGACAAATCTTCAAGGCAGTGTCACATTTTAGTGGTTGTAAGCATTCTCTTTTACTAATAGCTTTGCTTAAAGCATTTGTTAAAGGACATTCCCCCTGCCAGGTTTTCTCTGGCCATTTGACCTGACCATCTGGCAGGGAAGGGAATGCTGGCACCCTCTCAGATTTTGCCCATTGATGATGCATTTTCATTTGTCAAGTGCATAATGAAGTAAAGCTTCCCAACACAGCAATACCATCAAACAACACCGATGTTATTCTGCTAAGACACCTAATAAGATGTCCTGCAGGCATGTAAAATGCACTACACAGCTGCACAGGCTACTTACAATCATGTTCTCCAGCGCTGATTTGGCAAGCCAACAATTAAGAAACACAGGAACAAATATGTTTCTTAGCGGATGCCAAAAGATCTAAAAAAAAAAAAAAAAAAAAAAATTATAATTATAATATAGCTTTTACATCTAATGCCATTAGCACAAAAATAAATAAACAACCTATAATTTTTTTTCCCAATGACTGCAGGTCAAAAAATGGCTATTTGTTACTTGGCTAATTGTTACATTTAAGTTATTATTATTCCTTCTCACGATTGACTTTCAGGTATCAATGGCTACTTATATAATTACACTCAATCACAACAATATAACAGTAACAATTACTATCAACAAGGCAGCAACCTGATATGTGTTTCTGTGTCCACCAGAACCTTCATTACTTACTGTAATTATAAATGGCACTGTATTGATCATCTCAATGATGAAGGAGATTTGGAAAATTTGCTCCCAAATGTTCCCCTAGAAGTGAAATAAATATAAGTTACACTGCAGAAGAATCAAAGAGTACTAAAATGCACATTTAAAAAATAAAAAATAAAAAAATCAGAACACAAAACGGTCTGCATCCTAATTCACTATACTGCATATCTCTCATAAACAGTATTTGACAAATTGGAATTAGTGCATCCCAAATTACAGTGTGATAATAGTCAAATGTCCTTGTTTTGTAAATAGTTTGCTGTGTGTGGATTTTAACATATTTTAATAGTATGTCAGTTTATAGATGAAGTGTGTACAAGTTGTCTTATATGCCACTATTACTGTATGTGCAGAGACAACTATGTATAGACACATATTGACTTCCCAGAAAAGTGTATGCAGCCTAAGCATAATATACATTAAGTGGGCAAACTGGGATGCAGCCTTTAATTACAACAAAGATTACTTTCATCTCCCAACAACAGAAAAACCCCCCCGCCTTTTCTTGATAAATCAATGAAGAAACAGAAAAACAAGTTAGAGAAGTTTTTTTTCTGTTAAAAGCGAGGAACACTTCCCATTATAGGGAAACTAAAGAAACAAAGGGACCCTTTAGCAGCACAAGAGGATCTAAAATGGTCAGATTTAATTTAGATCAGTGGTTAGAAAGCTCACAAGGGCAGAATAATAATGACAATAATCTTACCTTATAGCTGAGATACACCAGGAGCATTGCTTGCAAGAAGCTAATTAAGGCCACTGTCACCTGTGGTGCAGGAAACATAATCATAATTTTGATTAGCAGAGTATCAATATCAGAGTCTAATGAGAAATAGCTCTTATCACAGTTGCTTTGGCTTAGTTTGGAATTATTTTGCTGGAGGAGCAAAAACAGACAAAGAACCTGGCAATATTGTGTCTAATATATAAATATAACTATAATATGAACTTCTTGTTTATTGAACTGATGTATGAAAGCAATGTTACACCCACAGTAGTGATACGGCTTTTCTGATTCTGATTCTAAACCACTAAAACACAGTTTTTTTTAAAGGAATATATTACAAAAGGTTTGTTTTACAATGTAAAAATGTTCTTTAAAGGGGACCTATTATGCAAAATTCACTTCTACATGGTGTTTGAATGTAAATGTGTGCAGACAACCACCCTATAATGGTAAAAATCCACCCACTTCTCTTTTTGTAATCCCCATAATTAGCCGTTTGCAGATTCTAGCATATGTGACGTCAAATATGCTTAGGCGGACTTTGCCCTATTGTTATTACCCCGCTCTGAGTGAGCTGTACACAGTCCGCCATGTTTAGCTCCTCACCAGAGCATTTTACAGCAGCATTCAAGTAAGAAATGTGTTCTTATAAAAGCTACTAAAGTTAATTCAATCAAGAGCAGTGAGTGATTTTTTTTAAATTGTTTTATTTTATTCATATTAACAGCATATATAACGGTACTGTATATTATGCTGCTTTCACTCTAATACACAGATCTAAAATACACACGCAATTTATTTATTTGCTGTTTACATTCACCGTGTATTTGACAGTTTAAGGTCAATAACACATGAAAGAGAATTTAGTTTAATTACTCACGGGACGCTCTGTCTGACAGCCAGCTTTCTGTGCGGGTGCTTCGGGTGTGTGCACTCAGAAAACCATATATCAGAAGTTTGGATTGATATATGAGTTATGAATTTAGATTTATCCACGGCTGGTTTTCAAATGTACATAACAGATTTATAATAAAATATTTAAGTCTCCCAGTCACTGACTTTTACTAAAATTGTGTTATTTACAATCCCCTGTTGATAATTTTTTTTGAGATAAAACCAGATTAAAAACGCGGCATTTATATCTAAAACCGCCAGCAGGTCAAATTTACCAATATATAATGCCTTCATTTTCACGCTGTGTTTGAGCAACGTGTAGGAATACTGTAATCAGTCACACAAAACACATTCAAATAAAGATGTTTAAAGATTAATTATTTATTTATTTTTTGCAATTTTGTATCGCTACTGTGCTGCTATTTATTCAAGTGTATGATCTGTTTCTTGAAAAAAATATTTCCGATCTATGATGTAATGAATAAAACAAATTTTATAATTACCCCAAGTTGTGTTGTTCTCTTATTCAAATTATAAATGATATAACTAAACAAATTAATAATTAATTAGGTGGAACTGTGCGCTTGAATTAGTCGTTGCATCATACATCCTATGTAGTGCAGTGAATTATTATTCCTCTGTATTGTCTATTTAGGGTATTTTAGTAATTTAAATAACATGGGTTATCTTAATGACATTTTATCATAACATTACACCACCCAAATATGTATTTATTTCCCTCTAATTCTCGTTGTCATTGCAGGCTGGTTTAGCCAATATTCACCTTTAAGAAAAGTGATTAGTGTAGCTTGCTTAAAATAGTCTTAAACATAAAACAACGGGACAAAAACATAGTTGATGACTAAAAATAATCATTTCATGACTCTAGACATTACGTTGTTAAGACAGGGGCATAATACAGTGACATAATATGTTTTTTAGCCATATCAAAACAGTAAATTTTACCCGCTGGCGGTTCTAGTGTTAAAAAGCATGCATAATAAACTTTCATGATGATGAAGAGCTGCAATGTCACATGATCAAATCCAAACAGATGTTTTAGTTTTTGGTAGAGCATCCGAGGCACGAGCTGTACAGGCTCCGTCCTCTTCTGGAAAACGGCGGGGAGTAGCAGCACATTTGCATTTAAAGATACATGCACGAAAACAGCATTGTTTTTCCTTCCACTCAAAAATGGCCATTTACAACATGGTATAATAAATGATCTGTGGCGTATTTTAAGCTGAACCTTTACATACACATTCTGGGGACATCTGATATTTATATTACATCTCCCTTTAAAGTCACACTGTAAAATTATTTTGGTTCCAACATGAACCTTTATTTTTAAGAGTGTGGTTTATAAAAAAACAAATCTCAACCTACCTGTATTGCCCATACAGGAACTCTCCTATTCACCCAAAATATTAACTCCCTTCAAGAAAGACAGCACAAGAAACACAAACAGATATGAGACAATTAGAGAAAATATTCAAGAACAAACACACTTTATTTAGTTACTGTAAGTTGATTTGTGATCTGATTTGTGATCTGTCATAATATTTACAGAGTTAAACTCACCAGTTTATTTGCGGGGGATCTGTGGTCGGGTTTGTTGTGTAGTTTGCACAGGCTTTGCTGCAAAGGGCATCTGTGATGTTTGTGCAGTGTTTCCTATAATCATGATAACAGGCAGTTATTACACAACAGACATAAAAGTGAAAGACATCAGGGTTGAATAGCTGAGGGATACATAACAGCGTAAGATTGCCTCTCTCTTATTTGAGTGCTGCTAGTAGGGCTCCCTCTCCTCTCCCTCTGTGCTTGCACACAAGTTCACACAGCTCTCTCTTTCTGTCACCTACTAGCACACACACTGTGCCTCACTGTTTTTTGGTGCTTGCATTGAGATGACTCTAATGGACGCTTCAGACAAAGTAGTCTGGGTTTATCCTGAGAGCAATTTAAACGAAGCTTTTGAGATGTACTGTAATGTGTTTTGTTTCGGTGAGCTGCTGTTGTTGTTTCATGGAAGAGTTGAAGAAAAATCATTATACAACAGTTAGTTCAGGTCCTCTAAGATGATTGGACATGCAGTGTTCAAAGATTGCTGATATTGTGCGTGACATTTAGTTGTTTGTATCATTCTGCTCTTCTGTGTTAACAAGGTTCCACAGTATGTGAATGGAAACGGGATTGTCTTATTTTGCATTGAACAAGGGTAATTTTTTTTAAAAGTCAGAATGTCTTTGTTGTTTCTCGGTATTGGTACTGTACTATAATATACACATTAATAATATCGGCCGATATATCGATATCTGGCTTTTTTACTCCCTAATATCTGTATCGGCCCCCAAAAATCCATATCAGTCGGGCTCTAGGCTCAACCCTCTCCCCTGCAGGACCTATCTTCATGGGGGGATATCATGGATGCTGAGTCCCCTGAGCTTACGCCGCATTTTGACCTAGAGCTGAGGTGGAGGTAGATGAGGAGGATGAGGAGATATTAGCTCGCCTCCTCCGGGATGAGCTGGATAATAAGGATGACGCTATCCTGTCTGCGGCCCAAGCATCCAGGCCTATGAGCGTGCCAAATGGCGACTAAGCATCGACCGTGGTGGATTGTGACCTAGTGGAGGTTTGTAAACATGCTGCAGCTAAGCTTAACATTGTTTGAGCAGTAACTCCTGGGGACCAGGGAGTTTAACGGGATATTTATGATGGGAAAAACTCCCTTCTCACCTAGGGCTACTCTTCAACTGATATGAGAGAGATGGAGGAGCTTGGGCTCTCTAACAATGATCTCTTTCATGGTCAAACAATCAGTAGCTCACCACCTGCATCCAAACAGGCAGAACACTCTCTCATCTACCAGTCCCTCCCTCCATTGGAAAATGTAACGCTTCACTGCTTCCATGTACCAGAAGATATATAAATCATCTGTGCTATCTGTGCGGACACCTAAGGCAACTTCTTTGTTGATGGCCTATCAAGCCAAGCTATTGGAGGAGCTGGAAGCTCAGCTGGACTCCAACAATTCAAACCTGGTGGTCTGGGAGGAAATCTGTAATATAACAGACCTCAGCCTATGCACCTCACGTGGTGTGGTACGGCTTGGTATGGGTCTTGGGGGGGAGAATATCAGCGGAATACGTGAAGGCTCTTGATTAGTGTTGATACCCCTGTGTATTCCAGATAGTGGCTCTGTTGGGAGGTGTGTCTCTGGAAAAATAGTGACAGTGAATGCATCCCTGATGGGCAGGGGGTCTGTTTTATTTATGGCAGATCGGTGAACGATCGCTGGATGCCCCAGCTTCACAAACTTCATATAAATATGCAGTGACCCTGAAACATAATCTGCTGTTTGTAAAGGGATTTGGTCAGGACAGACAACATGATACTGGTGGCATATATGAATAAACATGTTCGTTGAAACTGCATAATTTAGCCCACAAGCTGATTGTCTGAAGCACTGTTCACTTCAGCTAGCTTGGTACGACACGTCCCAGGAGTCCTGAATGTAAGAGCAGATCTCCTTTCAAAGGGCAATCCGTTATACAGAGAATGGGCACTTCACCCACAAGTGGTAGATCAGATTTGCAAGAGGTATAGCAAGGCTGTTGTAGATCTGTTCACCTCACAGGCAAACACAAAGTTCCACTGTATTTCTCTCTCAAGGTGAAAATGCACCTTTGGGGGTGGATGTGGCACAAATGTGGCCAAATGTGTTGCTATATGCATCCCCACCGCTGAGTCAAATATCAACCACCCTGAACAGAATAAGAGAAAACGGATTCGCTCTATTTCTGATGGCCCCTAGTTGGCCAGAGGGAGGCTGTGGTTGGCAGAGATTGTTCTGCTCCTTCAGGGAGAGCCCTGGCAACTCCCATTGTGCCGGGACCTGCTGTCATAAGTAAGTGGGCATATATTTCACCCCCACTCAGAATGGGTCAATCTTTGGGTCTGACCAGTGAGGAGTTAAATTTGAATGTGCTCGGGCTTCCCCAGGAAGTTATAAACACCATCCAGAGTGCTATAGCCCCTTCAAATTAAATATTCATTTTCAGTGTAGGTTTTCTACTATTAAACTTTATCTGGCTGCTATTTCGGCTTGCCACGTAGGTTTCGAAGGAGCTTCGGTGGGACGGCATCCTCTTATATGCCGTTTTATGAAGGGAGTGAAACGTTGGTGACCAGCGTCAAAGCAGCTGATCTTGTCAAGAGAGGAGGAGAAGTGGAAATTGCACACTTTGGGTCCTGTATGAGCATTACGGTATTATGAAACCATGACATGGCAGGAAGAATGATCAGTTGTTCGTTTCGTGGGAAACTCAATGTACGGGTAATCCATTCTCCTCGCAGCACCTTTCCCATTGGATGGTGGAAACGATTGAATTCACCAATACATCTATGGGTCTTTATTCTCCAATGGGCTTAAGGGCCCATTCTATGAGAGGTACGGCTAGCTCATGGGCATTGTTTAAGGGGATTTCGATAGGAGATATTTGTGCAACTGTAAGCAGGGCTTCCTCCTTACTTGTCGGGTATCTCACCAAGCTTCCCTACTTGCATAACACTGGGGAAGAGCAGCCGTTTTGGGGATCACAGCGGTATATATAGGGAGGGGTGGGCTCCTTGTCATGAGCTGTGATTTGGCCGCCTTTTAGACAGACGCAAGAGTGCAGTCGTATAATACGGCAGTTCAAGTAAAAAAAAAGGTCCCACTTAGGGCTGACTTCTAATAGTCGAGGATTCGACGATTCGATTCGGAGAGGTCTGATTCGACTATGAACCTCATAGTCGAATAGTAGGGAAGTGTTAGGACCTGTTCACATATCGCGTCTTTTGCGCGCTCAAGTTCGTTATTTCAAAATAGGCGCGCGGTATGCAACCAATGAGCAGCAGCACACTACAGGCTTGTAACGTCCGGACCACATTTGTTAGCATTTACGGATTTATTGGCTCAAAATGGCTTCTAAAAAATCATCAAAAGTGTGGGAGTATTTCGAGAAGGTTAAAGATGACCCAAAGAAAGTTAAGTGCAAGTTGTGTCAGCAGCTTCTTTCATATCACACGACGACAACCAACATGGCTTATCATTTGAAACGGGTAAGGCTTGTTAACTTTACAAACAAAAAACAAACAAACAGTTCTACCACTCTTTTGTCAATACAGACATAATTTATTATTATCATTTTTCTGACAGTTACACCCGCAGTGTCATGACGACAGCTCAGGCAGCACGTCTGCATCAGCGGCGGCCCCAAGATTAACGCAAAAAAAATTTGATTTGAGACCACCACTTTCAGAGAAGAGAAAAAAGGAAATTACTGAAAAGATTGCGGAGTTTGTGGCACTTGATATGAGGCCTGTGCGCATTGTTGAGGGTGAGGGATTTAAAGAACTCTTGCGCACACTTGAGCCAGGGTACACCGTCCCTACAAGAGCTACAGTGATGGATGTCGTGCACACAAAATATCTATCGATACGGTCAGACATTTACATGGCTATACAGAACTGTGAAGCTGTCAGTTTCACAACTGATATCTGGACCTCACTTCAGATGGAGGCTTATCTCACAGTCACATCACATTTCATCTCCGGAGACTGGCGACTGGAGAGTTTCGTTTTAGAAACAAAAAAAATGGAGGACAGTCACACAGCTGATCACATTGCTCGAGAACTGACGGAGATCATTTGTGAGTGGGACATTCCAAGTAGCAAGATCGTTTCTGTGGTTCATGATAACGCAGAAAACATGGTTGCGTGCACCAACCAGTTGGTCCAGCAGCCCCCCCTGGGGAGAGATGAAAGGAGTGCGCTGCGCGGGCCACACATTACAACTCTGCATAAACAGCGCTCTGAAGCAGGACCCCATTTGCCGCATCGTTGCTGCAGCAAGGCGCTTGGTTTCTCATTTTAAAAAAAGCGCAAAGGCCACCACAGCACTACAAGATCAACAGAAACAACAGAATGTGCCCCAGCATAAACTGGTGCAGGATGTTGTTACCCGTTGGAACTCTGTTTATTTGATGCTCGATCGCTTGATAGAACAGAAGGGGCCAGTTTCAGCCGTGCTCACAGATGAGAGTGTGAGCAAGCGGTCTGATCGTGACCTGGAGCTATCCACATCACAGTGGCGCACAGCAGAGGACATTGTCGCTGTTCTTAAACCGATGATCACTCTGACAGAGCTTTTGTCCCAAGAAAAAAATGCGTCCCTGTCTGCCACTGTCCCCATGCTTATGAATATTAAAAAAAGACATTTGGTGGTGCATGAGGACGACAGTCGAACCACAAAGATCATCAAGACTACGCTGTCCGAGGAGATGGACAGGCGATGGGAGCTTAAAGGGCCAGGACTGGAAATAAGTGTTTACATCAGTGCGGCGGTGCTTGACCCGCGCTTCAAGAAGCTCTCCTTTCTCTCTGATGACCAAAGAGATGAGGCATATTCAGTGGTGGCAGAACTAGCTGAAGGTCTAACTGACAGGTTTTTCCAGGAGGAAAGTGACACGGTGGATCCTGGGCCTACTGCCCCAAAACAGGACGCTGTAATGGCTATGCTGCTGGCCAGTGATGAAGATGAGGAGGAACAGGTTGAGACGAGCGAGATGAAGGTCTATTTGAAGGACTTCACTAAATGCAACGGAGGCCCCCTGGAATGGTGGAAGAAAAACGAGGATAGATATCCAAAGTTGTCAAGAGTTGCTAAGAGATTTCACAGCATCCCCTCCACTTCCACGCCATCAGAGAGGATTTTTTCAAAGGCGGGTTTCATTGCCAATAAATCAAGGAGCGCCCTTTTACCGACCAACGTGAACAAGCTGGTTTTCCTTGCACACAACTTCAGAAGAATCAGACAACCACAGGTGCAGTAGAACACTTTTCATATGTGAAGAAGTGATTTTTTTTCTTTTTCTTTTGGGACAATGTGAACTTAAGCTGAAGGCTGCGCGCGAAGCGTCTCAGGAAGGAAGACATCCTTTCCTTTCTTTTTTTTTTTTGCTGCATGTGCACTTTCTGAAGCCCATTCGATTATGACTTATATTAGGCCTATGTTTAAAATTTTCGTTTTTGTGTAATTGTTTTTATTTTTTCAGGCAGGCTTATTGTATTTTGAAAAATGTTTATGACATTTTGGACTAGTGCCAGGCTGTTGCGCTAAGTTTAATTTGATTTATTTATTTTATCCCGATTCCCGAGTGTGAACTGTGAATTAAAAGCCAAGAAATAGGTTCTTAAGTGAGAGATAAAGGCATGTTTTGGCACGTTGTTGTTTTTGAAGCCAATTTGTACCTATTTTATGTGAACTTTTCTGATATGTTTGATATATGTGTGATATGTTTTGTTCATCTGGCTTTGAATAAAAGGTATTTGTTACATACCATGTTTTTCGTTTATTTTTTTATTTATTATCGTTTATTATTTTGTTTGAAATGTAAAAAAAATCTAGCTGCTATCTAAAAAAAAAAAAAAAAAAAAAAAAAAAGTCCGACTATCAGTCGACTACGGCAAAATCTAACGAATCAGATTCGACTATGAAAATCCTTAGTCGAAAACAGCCCTAGTCCCACTTTATATTAGGTGTTTTTAACTACTATGTACTAGCATTTAAATTGATCATTTGATACAGTGCACTTATTGTGTACATAAATGTTTTTACATTTGTTTACATTGTTCTTATATTGTAAAAACAAAACCCCTGCATGTAATTACAGCTGTAATTACACTGCTGAGCCTTCCCTTACATCTTAACCCACCCTTAAACCTACCCATACCACCAAACCTGTCCCTAACCTTACCCGTATCCCACTTCAATAGCAGCAAAAGTGTTTTGCAGTACAATATGAATACAATAAGTGCATTGTACTTATTTTTTGGTGTAAGTACATAGTAGTTAACGACACCTAATATAAAGCGTGACCAAAAATCTATTTCAAATAAATTCTTGATACTTTCAATTCATCAGGGAATCCTGAATTTTTTTTATCAAGGTTTCCACAAAAATATTAATCAGCACAACGGTTTTCAGCACTGATAGCAAGAAGACTTTTTCTTGAGCATCAAATCAGCATATCAGAATGATTTCTAAAGGATCATGTGACAGTGAAGATTGGAGATTTAAAATTCAGCTTTGCCATCATAGGAATAAATTATGTTTTTAAATATATTCAAATAAAATTTAAAATAATTTGTACTGCATTTTTAATTAAACAAATGCAGCCTTGGTGTGCATAAGAGACTTCTTTTAAAAACATTTTAAAAAATCAAACAGTTGAATGGTAGTGTGCATGTGAGTAAAAGGTAACAGACTTTTCATATTTGGGTGAATTATCCTTTTAAGTAGTTAATGTTTACTCACCGTGCACATGTGACCTGGTTAGTTGGATCATCTAGTGAGACTCTGATTATATAGAGCAGACATGTTAACAACTTCAAGGAGAGGTTGAAGAGGCGTATTCTGAGACCTGCAAGTAAATTATAAAATGGAGATTCATACCATATAAAACTCATCTGGAAAATGTATTAGAAATAATTCAGCAGTCTGGCTGCAAACTTACAGTGCCTTCATAAATCCAAACAAAAAGTTAAAACAGTCACCTTCTCTATTAGGATGATTTAGCCTTTGATAGACCATATATACTGTATATATATATATATATATATATATATATATATATATATATATATATATGGAGGCCTTGAACATGTACACGTACACTCACCAGCCACTTTATTAGGTACCCCATGCTAGTAACGGGTTGGACCCCCTTTTGCCTTCAGAACTGCCTCAATTCTTCGTGGCATAGATTCAACAAGGTGCTGGAAGCATTCCTCAGGGAGTTTGGTCGATATTGACATGATGGCATCACACAGTTGCCGCAGATTTGTCGGCTGCACATCCATGATGCGAATCTCCCGTTCCACCACATCCCAAAGATGCTCTATTGGGTTGAGATCTGGTGACTGTGGAGGCCATTTTAGTACAGTGAACTCATTGTCATGTTCAAGAAACCAATTTGAAATGATTAGAGCTTTGTGACATGGTGGAAGTAGCCATCAGAGGATGGGTACATGGTGGCCATAAAGGGATGGACATGGTCAGAAACAATGCTCAGGTAGGCCGTGGCATTTAAACGATGCCCAATTGGCACTAAGGGGCCTAAAGTGTGCCAGGAAAACATCCCCCACACCATCACACCACCACCACCAGCCTGCACAGTGGTAACAAGGCATGATGGTTCCATGTTCTCATTCTGTTTACGCCAAATTCTGACTCTAACATCTGAATGTCTCAACAGAAATCGAGACTCATCAGACCAGGCAACATTTTTCCAGTCTTCAACTGTTCAATTTTGGTGAGCTCTTGCAAATTGTAGCCTCTTTTTCCTATTTGTAGTGGAGATGAGTGGTACCCGGTGGAGTCTTCTGCTGTTGTAGCCCATCCGCCTCAAGGTTGTGCGTGTTGTGGCTTCACAAATGCTTTGCTGCATACCTCGGTTGTAACGAGTGGTTATTTCAGTCACTGTTGCCCTTCTATCAGCTCGAACCAGTCTGGCCATTCTCCTCTGACCTCTGGCATCAACAAGGCATTTCTGCCCACAGAACTGCCGCTCACTGGATGTTTTTTCTTTTTCGGACCATTCTCTGTAAACCCTAGAGATGGTTGTGCGTGAAAATCCCAGTAGATTAGCAGTTTCTGAAATACTCAGACCAGCCCTTCTGGCACCAACAATCATGCCACGTTCAAAGTCACTCAAATCAACTTTCTTCCCCATACTGATGCTCGGTTTGAACTGCAGGAGATTGTCTTGACCATGTCTACATGCCTAAATGCACTGAGTTGCCGCCATGTGATTGGCTGCTTAGAAATTAAGTGTTAACGAGCAGTTGGACAGGTGTACCTAATAAAGTGGCCGGTGAGTGTATAGTGATATTGAGATCCATAAAAATTGTTTATGCTTGCAGTAATGGATTTTGCTTTGTTGGTTTCTCAGTGGTTGTAAATAGCTCAAAAGGTCAAAAGATTTTACTTACTTGACCTTTGGTTTTTGATGAAAAAGAGCTTCAACCTCTCCTTGAATGTGTTTTCATTTACATAAAATTCCACCTGCACCCTGTGGAAAGGGAATAAAATGATGTTTAATAAAATTCTTTAAATTCATTGTTTACATACAGTAGTAAATGTAAGGTAAATTTACAAAAATATGTGCACACTTAATCACACTTTATCTAATGTAATGACATTCACACGTTGTTAAGTGTCCAAAATCATTTTATGATTAAAATTCAAAATAATTGTAATTAATGTTGTTTATTATGTATCTGCATTGTGCAACATTCACAAAGCAATCCCATAATCCACTATTAAAAACTTCAAGCAGCTAAAACTACCGGGTAAATAACTTCTTTTAATCTCCAGATCCATCTCTGAGATGTATGCAAGCGTTTCAAATCTATCATGACATCTGACAGGAAACATTAGCAATGGTGGCGTTTCAGATGAACTCTCAGTAGATGTCAGCCTCTCCCATCCATGAATGTTTCACTAAGCATATCAATAAACGTATTTATATGCTTGAATTTCTATATCATCATATTGCAGCAAAATCCATCATGATCCAAAATCCAGCATCTCTGAATCTAGCCTGATGCCACACAAAATCACAGCATCTGAATATGCATACTTCCCTTATATGTATAGAATGCAAAAAGCACTACAGTTCGTCAAATAAGTAGTACTATGTCTGAATAGCCATTATACTAAAACACAAGGTAAACAATTCCCACTCCTTGTAAAGAGATTCTGAAATCCCATGAAGCCATGTTCACACTATAAACATTCAATACTTAGAAATTCATGGTCAAGAAGTAAGTTCATTATCAAATGCTATATATTTGACAGTATGTGATTTCAGACGCAGCTAATGATTCACAGCAGACAATTCCTCTTGACATACAATAGCAGACAGACATACGATTCCCCTTGCTGGTATACAGTGCCCATGACTGTCACGACATACAATTTCCCAGGACACTAACCTGTATTTCAATGATATCTGTCACGTATAGACATTTTATGCATGGTCTGAAATACTCAATATTTCTCAATATATTTATTATAATTACACCCACTTTTACGGGGGATAAGCCATATCATAAAACTTGAATAATACATGATTTTCACAGTAATAATTTCATTTGGCCTTACAAACGAAAATCACTATGCGTTCACTTTGGGAATCATTGTTCGGAGTATGTTTGATATTTGTGATGTCACAGGCATCATACTAATGGTAGGCTAGAGCTTCCCAAAGTCCTTTACATCTGCCGCGGGCATGACATGATGTATATTGTAGGCAGTAATTATGAGCAACATATTCAGCAGAGAAAGAGAGAGAGAGAGATCCTAGAGAAAAGCCATTGTTTCCAGCTTCCCCGGCTCTGTCTCCATGGTGATGCCTTTAAAACAGGCTGTGGTGACACATATACGGTATATATTTACAAAGCTGAGGGCTGTTTTGTGTAAAAAAAAAAAAAATTATTAGTGAAAAATTTATTAGTTTACATAAAATGTTGACCATTGTGACATATTAGCAAAAAACAAATACCAGCTTCTTGAAATAGTCCCAGACTGATTTTCACTTCCAGATATTTATATGGATGAGTGTATCTGTGATTTGCACCCACGTATATGTATGTGCACACAAGCACGAACCAACAGAAACAAGCTCACACACACATTCCAAACTTATCTGCAAGTCTTCACTGTGCCAGAAATAATTGCTCTGCCTGACTGTCAAACTGTTTCTCACATTAGAAAGGACTGAAATTATAATTGCAAGGCAATCCATAACACTCCAACATGGAACAATAGGGCTGGTCAATAATAGCTGAACTGATAGTAATTTAGTCTCTGTCAAAATCTTTATTCTTCTGATTTGAGCAGCCCCAAATATACCGTCACTCCACCCACGTACACTAGCTCTCCAACAGACAGATACTCTATTTATAGTGCAAGGAGCATTACTATTGAAGACTGTGTGCTCATGTCAGCCTACTTTACAGAGCTTTCTATGGGAACAATCATTAAAAGTTAGCATGCGGACATTCACATCAGTGTGTGAAGCAAGCGTTTTCTTAACATTGAAGTAACAAAATCAAAACATCCACTGAAGTAAGACATACACAACCGTAGTAGGCTAAGTGTAGAAACTGAGCATCAACTGTTCTCCTCTTAGATGAAATACACAATATAGTTCAACATGTTCTCCGAGTGCTTCTGTTGTTCTCATTTATGGGTGTTCTACTTTGTAAACAAATAATATACTTAAATTACAGAATTTGAACCCTATACAGTACACAAAACACACAAAAAATAACATATTAGCTGCTTTCCCATCGTCGGGCCGAACGGTTCTAAGAACGGTGAGGAAAGGTTCCATTACATTTCCACTTGAGCCTGGATCAGCACAGCACAAACCATTCACAGTCTGGAATTCTCAGGGTGGTTGGATAACTGTGCTGAAACGTGCTGGTAGAACGCTTGTAGTGACGTCGCTCTCAGGATTGGCCACCTGTCTGTTGCCTGACTACCAGTTTCTCTATTCGAACGACATAAACGCAAGTTAATAATAAAACTTAAATAACCATAACGTGGTCGCTATTTACATCTCATACCATCTGTAAACTCTTGCGTTAACAAGGTAACGACTGATGCATTTGTATTAGATTCCAAAGATCTGTTATCAGCGCCACAGCGGAAAGTAAAACAACAATATCAGTACCGGCTGTTCCGAATCGGCATGGAATGGGACAGTTAAGCAACGAGAACGGTTTGGTCTGGAGGTGGAAAAGCAGCTACTATATTTAAAAGCTAGATTTAAAATCTTAAAAATGCTGCATCAGCATAGCATTTTGGTTAGAAAGGAGTTCACCTCAAATTTCTGAAAACTGAAATTGTTGCACTTCACTGTAGCTCTCAAATTTCTATTATACGTGTGCATAGTCAAACTTGAATCAAGGCACATCACAATCGGTTTGATATTAATGATTATGTCAAATGTGTGGACAATATATTGGGGTGATGATATAAATGTCTATTGATGGAGACTTTGTTATTTCATGCATATCACAGTATGTAAATACTTAAAGTTAATTACATGTTAGAGTGATGTGTATGAATGTGTATGAATGAGAAAAAAAGCGGGGGACGTGCTTAAAGCTGCAGTAGGGAGTTTTGAGAAAACGTTGACTTAGCCTGAAAATTTGAACAAGCACAACTTACAGGTCCCACCCCCTTGCTCTCTGCTGCGCTACAGCCCTCCCTCCACAGCTCGTCCTCCACAGCGAAACCCGTCGTGAACGCGCAGGCTAGTAAACAGGGCCACCAATAACAGCGGATATAAAGTTATATGGCACATTCACTAATAGGGACTAAACGTCAACAATATGCTTTACATTGACTATGGCCTGCCCATACTTTGACTACAAAATTGGTCCTCAAATCATTATCTATTTTCCAATAGCCTATGTAACTTTATAACGTTGCACTCTTTCTATAAGTTATAAATAGCTAGTAAGATAACGTTAATATAACGTTAACTAACGTTACAGTATGTAAGTAATTATTCTAGCGATATATAATGCTAGATAAGGTGTGCTAGTACATTATTTCAGCAACATGACAAGCCAGTGAATTAGCAGGTTTCAATTGTTGCTTAGCAGAGTGCGTGACATTTTATCTACATGTTATGCGGCTAGAGTTTTGACACCGAGTCAATGGGCTCTGTGTAATTCTTTCTTTTTCGCTTGTTTATCGTCATCGGTCTTTTTCCTTTTACCTCTTTGTTTTATGAGCAGGTGTCACTCGAGAATTGGCAGTTTAGGTTGTTTCTCCGTCATAAGCACAGCTGCAGCTCGCCGGCAATCTTGAGTTTGAACGACGGCTCGCGCTCCGGCGCTCGCGCTGTGCAAGAGAGGGGTGTGATCAGCGCGTACACGAGCGTGATTGACAGTGCTAAGACACTCCTCCTGGCTCTGATTGGTTGTTTCTGACCGGGAGCGTGTATTTCTTGCAAATGGCAATAGGACCACTGGGAGGAGCCAGAGGAGCTTGATTTTTACACAGATTATCTGTCTCATATTGTCAGGACATAATGACAGTTTTAGCAAATACATGTTTTCAAAAGTTACCTACAGGAGCTTTAATGTTAAAAAGAGTTATTAAACACGATAAGCCACAAAAAAAGAATGTTGTACTCACGCTTGAAGACTGACATGACTTTCAGAGACTGAAGATGTGTTGTGTAAAAAATGTGCTTTAAAAGAGCACCTGTGCCCTCGTTTGAACATCCTCCTCTTGATGGTTCAAAGAGCACTCACATCTCACTAGAGAATTTTCAGAATGTCCACATTCAGCAAGTAAATATAGAGCAAACTGAAAGCCATTTGAGTCAGGAAGCCGAAAACTAGACAGCAATGTGACGTTTGCAGCCTGCATGCTAACCACAATCAGGGTATACAGTTGCACAACATCCGCCACCTCAGAAATTATTTCACCAGGGCAACTATTCAGGTATAGCCATAGGTGCTATTCTGCTCTAGTATTCACTACTGCAACTCCTGTTATTTCACTGTCATCACACTCAAGTGGTGGAATCAACTTTCCCATACAAGTTAACATTGTAAACAAATGCAATAAATCTTTTTTTTTTTTAATGGAACAGTTTATTGAACTTTTAGACAAATCAAATAAATAAATAAGTAAATAAGTTACATATGTGTTTTTGTTGAATATCATATTTGATACATCCGTCTTTTTTAGCTCATAGTATGATATAGAATAATATGGAGCTCACACCCAAAAATTTACAATTTGGTGCAGCTGTTGATATTTATATGACCATTTGACAGCTTGTAATGTAAATCATTGAGATATTTTTAATAGTATAGCAGACCTTACATATAATGCATATAAAGTCAATCGTCACTTTATATCTCCCAATAATATGTCTTAGTAGGATGATATTTAAATGCTTAGTTTCCTATCAAAAGCTTCTCTCCATGCTGTGTTTCATACACTAATGAGAACGTTCTTTGTTCAACCGGTTGTGAA